ATTAAAATATTTCATTTCAGTGAGTCAATCAGTGAGCCATATATAATAGTTTTATTATTTAGATTACCATTCACCAACAATCATATTAATTAATATTGTTACATACAGGTAGGGTAAACATTGGTAAATTCGTGATAAAATTAATTATTCTTTAATCATTGGACACATATTTTGTAAACAGAAATGTTAACTATATTATTAAAGGGTCCATATTTTGAAGATAACAGCATTGCTTTTTGTCTCCATGAATATATATATAGCTTAGTTTCCTAGGGATATATTTTTTATGTTGCATATGGGTGATTATTTTATGATATCATGGCTAACTTTGTGAGAGGATACTTTAGCCTGTATATTGTTAATTGAATTAATTTTTATTGTAGTACAAATAATGTTTTCTCTTACACTTTTTACCTGCAAACACATACATGTGCATGCATGTATTTACACAAAATAACTTCAATCTTCATCTGACTTGCTAGCACATCTTTCCCTCTTCATATAATGTCTAGCATTTCCTGTGGTACAAAACCAAACAGAAACTAGATTACACCTATTTCATCATGAGATTAATAGGAATTTGACAGACTTACACTATCTTAAAACACATCTCAAAGAAAAGAAAACCCTTAAGACATTACACCTATTGTTATTGTGCCCCATTTTCTTAACATTTTAACCCTGCGTTAGTGCACTGAGTTTTTTTTCGGCATTAGTGCAGTGGGGCGTTTGTCCACCCCGACATTTTTTTGAGTTTATAAACCATGTAAGTAAAAATTCATAAAGATTTACTCATTCATATGGTAAAGGCATGTGTTATTGTACATATGATTATATTCAGGTATGATTACATATTATATTAGTACATAAATCCATGAAAATAAAAAACAACATTTTTCAAAACTCATTACATTAGATCTTATTATTAAACCAATAGTAAAAATCTAAATTGTTTTTTAAGCATTTTTGTCACTTTGATTCAATAGCTAGCATTGTACTTTGGCACTCATTGCAAATGATAAGCAACTTACTATGTTTGGTATTTTCTCAATGTGTTTATGAAAGTCAGCCATTTTGAATTATAATAAACTTAAATTATTTTTATTCACATTGATTATTATATCTATATTATAAATAATAAATGTGGTCACATTATAGTTATTTGAAAAATAAAAAAAAACTAAATAAATATTTGTAAAATTTAAAAAAAACGTAATTAATACTGTCGGGTGTATGGACACCCCACTGAGAACTGTTGTTTTTCTCTTACTGGAATTTCTGCAGCATCGTAGTAATTTCTGAGCATGCTCTATACATAAAATCATGAAGCTACTGAAGAGGACACAAATATTTCTTGCGAAATCTATGAATAGTGCAACTTTTAAAACGTTGGGGGTGGCGAAACACCCCACTGCACTACCCCAGGGTTAAGTAAAATTGTGACCACACATTCTTTAGATGACTTGTATATTGAGCACTTTCTTTCACTTACCATCCTGATGACTTTAAAAAGTATCTTTTTCATATTGACAATAATGCAAGATGGCATCTCAATTTGTAATTTCATAATATATCTGTTATTTTGTCATACCTCTTTTTTAACCTAAAGAATATGAAAAAAACTCAGGTGTTCAATTAACGTTATCTATAAGTTACATATATTATTATTTTACTTCTCTAATTGGCAATAATTAATTATTAAATAGCCATTGTGTTTGATGTGCCTAGAATTTCACAACAAAAGCTAAGAATGTTGTCCAAATTGCTAAGGAAATTTAAACTCACAATACAGTAAAAAAATGACTAATCCCATGTTTAAATATATCTTGAGTTCTTAATTTATTAAAATATCAAAGAATAATTGACTTACCATCTTTGTTTTTTTTTGTAATTTAAGTTAAAACTAATCTCTTACAACACTTCTACAAATTTCCAACAGTTTACTGGAACAAACAAAATTTTCAAATTCAATACATTCAACGCCATCTTTGAGAAAAATTTCAAATCTCATTACTTTACTTTTTAAATTCATCTTCATCAAATAAGTATAATGAAATTATCAATATCATGTAATTACCAATGTTTACCCTAGTTTATTTTATGTCATTTTATTAACACTTACTATATTAATCTTATTATAATGTTTTTTAAATTTGTATTTAAATATTAAATATATCTGATAGTATATTTTTGTTCTACAAATCAGCTTTGTAAATGGATCTGTGATGTAAACTATCTTGAAACACATTTATTGAATTACTAAAGTGACTTCTTGAATGTTTATTAGCATTTTGGTCTTGTCATAATCTTTAAAACAGAATAACAAATTAAAATAAAATATATAATATTTTAAACAACCTTGTCATCAGGAGAAATTGATGAATTCTTAACATTTTGCATAGTTGAATCTGCAATCTAAAGAAAATTTTATATTAAACCATTAGCATTCTTATTATTCTGCAGCATGATAATTTTGATATAATATATATTAGATTACTAATGTAAAATTTTTATACCAAATATCTTTAATATTTAACATTTCTTACAAAAACTATTGCTATATAAAGGTTTTAATAATTTGATTTATGAGTTTATATATAAATATTATTATCTAAAATAGAAGATAATTGGTATAATTTTTTTAATCATTAAAATCAAATTAGTTACTGAATTCAAAAATATTAAATTCATAAAAAAATAAAAATAATTTCTGTTCATAAACCAAACAGCATATTTAGTTTGAAGAAGCCAATCTTAAAATATCAGGTCAGTCCATAAGTTTGTGTATTTTATGACCTTGAGAAAAATCTTGTTTTGCTGTTAAAAATGCAAGTCTAATGTGATACTTTTTACACTGAAGTGTTAAATTGGATCTCATTCATATAACACTGTTCAGAATTGGGAACATTTCAGTTGTTTATTTTCGTTAAAATGGAAGTAACAGATGAATACTGTATAAGAGACATGTTTTATACTTTTTATTTTTAAGTGATGAGAATGCTACAAATGCAGCCAAAAAATTAAATACTGTTCATAATCAAACTGTAATTAGTGTAAGGACTGCGCNGTGAATATTAGAGAAACTCTCATAAAAAATAAATGAATTATATTTTATAAGAAAGATAGACCCTTCTATTAAGCTCAATCCCAAGAAAAAATCAAATATTGTCAGCTTTTCATAATTATAAAAAAAGGACTCAATCAGTTTTTCAAGAATCTATCAATGAGTACTGATTTGACTCAAGAAACAAAAGCACGAAAGAAAAAATTTTACCTTTTTATATAGAGGCAAAAAAGAAAGGGTTAAATAATAAATCTAATGTTAAAGTTATCTGTTGGAATATGCAGGGTGCAAGAAATAAGATTTTTTCAATTTATTTTAAAAATTTTTAATGGGATATGATATTCTTGGTTTAGAAGATACTTGGATAACTAGATTTACTGAAACAGAAACTGTGCTCCTGAAAAGTTTACATAATTATATTTTGATCCAAGCATCTAAAAACCTAGTGTGAGTAGACCAAAGAGCAGTATGTTACTATTAATAAGAAAAACTTTGAAAGAAATTTTTTACTCTCATTGATGTTCGTATTTGATATTTGCTATGGTCAAACTTGACAGAAGTAATTTTAGAATGTTTCTAATTAGTTATCTGGCAATAGCTGTGAACTATATGCTGCCATACAAAAATATTCCAAATCTTTTTTATGAATTGGAGAAGATTATGGAGAGCTGGTTATATTTTACTTCTTCTTGGTTAATAATTAATGATTTTAATGCTAGAATAGGAAATGAATGTGACAAATTATTATGGGAATAACTCAGCTGTCTACAAGAAAAGAATGAGTCATGACTCTGGAACTAATAACAAGGAAAAATTACTGTTAAATTTTGTTCAAAATTATAATTTGTTTGTCTTAAATGGGTGCTTTGTTGGCGATTTCCTGAATTGTTATACTCATATCTTCCATGAGGGAGCTTTGGTAATTGACTATGTTATATGTTCAAAATTTTTGTTGGCACTATTGTACTAAATTTGAGTTTTCTGATGTTGATGTGTCTGATCATTTTCCTATTCAGTCAACAATAGAATGATGCTTAAATAATTCATCCTTTGACAAAAAACATGTTTAATAGTATATTGGATCAGGAAAGAATAGTCTACTAAACTCAAAATATTATCCATGGTATGCAAATAATTTAAATTTCCCACCATCAAGTAGTTTTATTAACTTCCAAATTCCAAGATTAAGAAGTTTTACATGCATTTAAGATTATACCATTTTTACATATTAGTGGACAGATTATATTTGGATATTAATCATCGTTTGTGTAAATTATGTTTACCATCAAATCTGGTTATGATCAGGCAATGAAAAGCTTAGAATACAATTTGGAATTTTTACATTGTCATACTGTAAATTGAAGGAGAAATTTTATGGAGATCTATTTCATATGGATCCTGTTATGATATTCTTATAAATAATTGAAACAATTTTAAAATAAATGTAAGACTGTATAATTTCTTCACCAAATACACTACCCTGCAAGATCAGTGAAGAAACCAATGATATGATCTGTTTGGCAATAGATAGCCACCCTTTATATAATCAAGAAAGTTTTTATATATTTTCACAGAGTCAAATTATAATTTATAGATTTCTTTATGTTTGTTGTGACTCTATTTAGAGTTTCCCTTGTAACAGGATTAATTCCTAAATATGCTAATAAATGTTTTTATTTGATTTGATTATTTGAATTTTGTATATTGTTTATTCATTTAATGTCATTTTATTTTGGTGTTTTACTATTCTGTTATTTTGTTCCTCATAGAAAGGGTAAAAAACCTCACTCTAATTTAAATACTTTTAAAATGAATATAAGATACTTTTAAAGATAAATGCTTTTAATTAAATACTATACTATATTATTATTACGAAAATCTTGAATAAAAAAACTAGTTACATTTTTTCATATAGCATTCATTTTTCGTAACTTACCTCAACAGCAAGTACAGAATCTAATTTTTTCACCACTTTTTGCAATCTTGTCGAATTTTCTTTAAACTCTTTCTTTTTTAATTTATTACTTAATTTTCTCTTTGTAACATTTATTAATGGAGAGTCATTTCGACTGCTATCACTACCTTTTCTACTTTCAATTTTCACTGGACTTATGTTTTGAGGAGTTACAGCTTGACTTCTAGAAATATCCCCTTTATCTGCACCAACTGGTGGTTCTAAAACAAAGTAATTATTTTTTTAAAGCACAGATTATTTTTTGTAAGAAAAATCTATATAATAGCAAATATTTTTACCATTGTAATCATATTTATATGCAAGTATTGGTGCATTATCTTCTAATGAACACATGGCTACAATATGATCATGAGGATGATAATCAACAGATGTTACTGGACCAAGATAAGGAAGATTATCATATACAGCTAATTTTTCAGCTAAAACAGAATAAAATTGTAAAACTTCATTAAACAAAAAACAAAATACCAATTTATTTTATATGCTACTTTAAGTTAAATTCAATTAAATTATAATGAAATTTGATATAATAATAAGCAGCACAATTATATTTTTAATTTCACATGGATATGCTTAAATCAGCTTTTGAAAACTGAATAATATATTAATTTGGTTCATAAAGTTGTAATATTTGGCATTTCAAGTTCAGCAAGAAAAATTAATTAGGTGTAGGGCAGAGGGCGCCACCGCTTGACCTTTCCCCTCTGACCTCACTTGGTCCTCGGACACCAATCTGGAGAGACACTTTCGTACGCCGACCTTCGCCTTTGTTACGCCAATCTTTCGGAGTCAGCTTGACGACTAACGCACATTTGTACAGTAATTTAACTTAGACCTCTGTAAATATTCCGTAGTCGCAGGGAAATAAAATATGGTATTTCCAAGGAATCAGTCTCCTCATTAATCTTGTCCGACGAACAAAGGACGTGGAACACGTGGGCGAGATCGGAACTACTATCACACGAGGTAGGATCAAATTCGGACCTATTCTATCGAAACGCCTCGACGGACTTTAGCTCCATTGCTAAACTGGTGAGCCGAATGTGATTCAAATAAAGGATACCCAAAGACGAAAATGGACGAGAGAACCTCTAAGCCTAACCCCGAACAAAGGGCCGACATGTGCCTAGCACGTGTCGCCGTCAAGGTGCTGCCATTTTGGAAGCCGGACCCCCGCATTTGGTTCCTTCAGATCGAGGCCCAATTTCGAAACGCCGGAATATTGTCGGATCAAACAAAATTCAATACCGTCATCAGTTACATCGACGCGGAAATTCTCACGCAAGTTTCGGACATTTTACTCAGTCCCCCTGCATCGGGGAAATACGAACTTATCAAAGAACGGTTGATCTCCGCTTTCGCAGACAGTGAGACCCAGCGCACCAAAAAACTACTGACTGAAATGGAACTCGGCGACCGCAAACCCTCCCAACTACTCTGCGAAATGCATAACCTGGCTGACGAAAAAATCGGCGAGAATTTTTTGAAGACACTGTGGCTCCAACGCCTACCGATCAATATGCAGAGCATCCTATCGGTTAGTAGCGATGAACTATCAAAATTAGCTGCTATGGCCGACCAGATCTGGGAACTCAGCCCTGGACCAACGACAGTACAGCTTGCTCCCGTAGCATCGGGGAGTGCACACTGTAGGGAGCCGCTCCCTGCCTTGGACACCCTTCAAAAGCAAATATCAGAACTGTCACTGCAGGTAGCCGCACTTAACGAGCGGATATACCCACGCATGAGACAAAGAAACATCCGACCCAGATCAAGAGAGAGATCACGCAGTCGACGAGCCGCTAACAGCAATATCTGCTACTACCACGCCACATTCAGGAGAAATGCCTACAAATGTCGCCAACCGTGCAACTTCCAAGATCAAAAGGTTGCAGTCGAGGAAGCGGAAAACTAATCCCCCTTCTCTCTTTGGCGACAGGGACAATGGGGATTGAGCTGAGTCGCCTTTATATAAGTGACAAGGATACAGCAACTCTGTACCTCATGGACACGGGAGCGGACATTTCTGTTATACCTCCAGCACCCCACGAAAGGCGCAACTGCAACAAACTCGAGCTTTTCGCAGCCAACGGATCGACAATAAAGACTTATGGCCGAAAGTTACTTAACCTAGATCTGGGATTACGAAGAAATTTTCCGTGGATATTCGTCATAGCCGACGTCCAGCGACCAATCATTGGCGTGGACTTTTTATCCCACTTCAACCTGCTGGTCGACAGCAGCCGCCATCGTCTCATTGACGGGGTTACGAATCTTCACACGAACGCCAAATTCCTTCCCTACGACACATCCCGAATCCAAACACTGGAAGACGTCTCTATTTACCAAAAAATCCTTGCCGAATATCCAGACTTAGTGCGGCCATCAATTACCAACAGCAAGATCAAGGAACACAACATCGTACACTTCATTGAAACCAAGGGCCCACCTGTGTTCGCCAGACCACGGAGACTTTCGGCAGAGAAACTAAAGGCAGCCCGTAAGGAGTTCGAATTTATGCTCCAACAGGGCCTATGCCGGCCTTCAAAAAGCAGCTGGGCCAGTCCGCTACACCTGACACAGAAAAGGTCGGGAGATTGGAGACCGTGTGGGGACTACAGAGCGCTCAACAGCATCACTATTCCGGATAGATACCCAATTCCATTCCTCACTGACTGCAACCACATCCTACATAATATGAAGATTTTTTCATCGATAGACCTGGTACGCGCTTACCAGCAGATTCCCGTGCACGAACCCAACATTCCTAAAACTGCTATCATTACTTCATTTGGCCTGTTCGAATTTCCTTTTATGACTTTCGGACTACGAAACGCAGCCCAAACCTTTCAGCGGTTTATGAATATGGTGCTCACTGGCCTCGACTTCGTTTTCTGTTACCTGGACGACATTCTTGTTGCTTCTCCGGACCAAGAAATGCATCAACGACACCTTCGCACCCTCTTCAGCAGGTTAAACGAGTACGGGTTATGTATTAACCCCGCTAAGTGCACTTTTGGCGCCACGTCTATAGAATTTCTGGGCTACAGGATAACGGCAGAAGGCCTACGGCCGCTCCAAGCGAAAGTGGAATGCATCCAAAATTTCCCGCGACCAGAGACAGCTATGGCACTACGACGGTTCCTCGGAATGATAAACTTTTATCATAGGTTCATCCCAGGATGTGCCACGTTGCAGGTCCGTCTCAACGCCATGTTAAGTGGCCATATCAAAAACAGCACCAAACCCCTCATCTGGTCGGAAGAAGCAAATAGCGCCTTCAACAACATGAAGGACGCCTTAAGCAGAGCCGCCCTCCTCACCCACCCAGCACCAGATGCCAAACTTTCCTTAACCACAGACGCTTCAGACGTTAGCATTGGAGCCGTCTTACATCAAGAGCTCGACGGCGTTAAACAACCCCTTAGTTTCTTCTCCAGGACCCTCACCAAGTCTCAAATAAAGTACAGTGCATACGACCGAGAACTGCTAGCCATCTACTCCGCCATCAAGCATTTTCGGCACCTAGTGGAGGGGAGGCCATTCGTTATCTATACTGATCACAAACCCCTTACATTCGCCTTCCTCCAAGATTTGGCCAAAGCGGTGCCTCGTCAACTCCGCCAATTGGACTATATATCGCAGTTTTCAACCGACTTACAGCATATATCCGGCAGGGACAACGTCGTTGCAGACTCCCTGTCCCGCATAAACACCATTGGCGCACCATCCATTAACTACGACGCCATCGCAGATGCACAACAGGATGATGAACTATCAGAATTGCAACAAAACCCAAATTTCAAAATAGTAACTATGCACCTCCCAAGTTCAACAAAATCCCTGTTCTGCGACATCTCTACCGGTCACTGTAGACCTTACATACCTCCCTCTTTCCGACGAGAAGTATTTTCGGCCACCCACAACTTATCACACCCAGGAGCCCGTGCGACAGTCAAACTGGTCACTCAGAGGTACATCTGGCCAAACATGAACAAAGACTGCCAGACATGGGCACGATCTTGCATGGCCTGCCAAAAGGCGAAAATCCACCGACATACACGTGCACCTCTGGCGAAGTTCCTCGTCCCGAATTCACGATTCGAACACATCAACGTCGACATAGTCGGCCCGCTACCACTCTCAGAAGGATCGAGGTAACTTCTTACCGCTGTCGACCGATTTTCGAGGTGGGTGGAGGCAACGCCTTTACCGGACCAGACAGCGGACACAGTCGCCAAGGCACTAATCGACACATGGTTTGCACGCTTCGGCGTTCCTACAAAAATCACAACAGACCAGGGTAGACAATTTGAAAGCCAGTTGTTCAGATCGCTAAGCAACTACTTAGGCTTTCAAATCAGTCATACTACGGCCTACCACCCCCAAGCTAACGGGTTAATCGAGAGACAACATCGCACTCTAAAAGCAGCCCTTTCAGCACACCTGCAACAGGCGACCCCATGGACCGCAGCTTTGCCTCTCGTCCTCCTAGGCCTACGCTCGGCCATCAAAGAAGACATTGGAGCATCCCCAGCTGAGCTGCTGTACGGCGCTCCTTTACGACTACCAGGCGAACTTCTGGTGGATTCCCCGGCGGCGGAGAAGACGGAGTTCATGCGACAGCTGCAACAATTCCTTCGTACGTTAAGACCGTCCCCAACATCTCGACATGGGAAGCGAACGACCTTCGTCTCGAAACGGCTAACAGACTGTTCGCATGTCTTTGTACTCAACCCAGCAGCACATCCTTCACTTCGTCCAGCCTATCTTGGTCCCTACCGCGTACGTCGTCGCTTCGAAAAGTTTTTCGATATAGACGTCGCGGGCTCTCCTAAAAGAGTATCGATAGACAGATTAAAACCCGCATTCCTTCTAAACGAAGATGCCGCTACTGGAACGAACCCTACAAGCACGTCGACCCCATCCGCCAGCCAACACCCAACATCACCCGCCAAGACAACAGGAAGACAAACGTCATCAGGACGCGTCATCCGACCACCCGTTTGCTTCCTGGATACGATACGCTGGACTGCTAGGGGGGGAGTGTGTAGGGCAGAGGGCGCCACCGCTTGACCTTTCCCCTCTGACCTCACTTGGTCCTCGGACACCGATCTGGAGACACACTTTCGTACGCTGACCTTCGCCTTTGTTACGCCAATCTTTCGGAGTCAGCTTGACGACTAACGCACATTTGTACAGTAATTTAACTTAGACCTCTGTAAATATTCCATAGTCGCGGGGAAATAAAATATGGTATTTCCAAGAAATCAGTCTCCTCATTAATCTTGTCCGACGAACAAAGGACATGGAACACGTGGGCGAGATCGGAACTACTATCACACGAGGTAGGATCAAATTCGGACCTATTCTATCGAAACGCCTCGACGGACTTTAGCTCCATCGCTAAATAGGCAAATTAAAACTACTGCCAAAACAACAGCATAAAATAAGAAAAAAATGTCTCTGTACATGATGTTGCTCAACACACTTTAAACAGTTACAAGAATTTAATGACAGAGTGATTAAAATTAAATAATTTCATATAAACAGATTATTTTATTACACTTAAAATTTTAGTTTTATTTAAAAATAAAAAATTATGCTATAAAACTTTAATTGGTGTTTTCAAAACAAAACAAAAGATTATTCATTCAAAACTAGTTTTCTATTCACCAAATTTTCCAATTTTTATTTAAATTTTTGATATTCTAAAAATAATATTTTTCTCAGTTCTTTGTGTTCCTAAAATTGAATTTTTAAGAACAGACTTATCAAAGATGATTTTTGAAAGTATCTATACTTTTTGTGTTTTTTTTCTAATTAATAAATATTTTGAATTAAACATTCCTTATTGTAAATTTACATTTCATAATTAAATTTAGTATAAACAATACAAAATTACTTTTTAAAACTAAAGCAAATTTGCTGAAAATTAAATTTACCAGTATTTGTATTCCAAACAATAACTTTACCATCTTCACCACCAGCAAATATCAAATTTCCACAGGCAGATAAACAGCATTTCAAATGATGTTGAAAATTAATGTATCCATAATAGTGTTGAATTATTAAATCTCTGCAAAATTTAAACCTTTGTTGAAAAATATCAATTTTATTACATTATTTTTAATATAATTTCTTGGATTCATTTCATAATCGATTTCTAAATCAGTAAAATAATTCAGCAAGTACAAATTGCTTATCTGAAATTTAAAAAATACTTTTCTACTTTTTCAGGAAAAATAAGTTATAAAAATGAAAAAGTGAAAAGAATAAGAAGAAGAAAGCAATGTTTTTAAATGATGGAGAAATTGTTTGAAGTTATGCAAGACTCAGAACACTGGATATTCACAGAAATTATAGCTAAATAATAAACATCAATTTTGATATTTAAAAAATTATGTGTGTGAAGAATAATTCAAATATAAATAAATGAAGTAAAATATTAAATAAATAGTACTATTAAAAAAATTTTATTTACAGGTGTGATCAAAAGAAACAAAGATTTGAATGGCTGAATTTAATAAATAAATATAACAAGCATAACATATCATTAAAGTTTGAAAAATTAAACTAGTATTAAATATGTTAAATTCCATAAAATACAGTAAAAAAGTAGTCACAAAAGTAGTTTAATTCTGAAATGTTTTTAAAGAATTTCTATTCATCTTCAATAGATTTCCAGTATTTTCTCTTTATCTTACCATTACCAAAACATATAGTTTCATTTCAAAATCTTTTCAAGAGTATTTTTAAACAATATTTAATGATAACTTTAATAATTTAGATTAATTCTTATAAATAATTGAATTAAATCATACTTTAATTTTATATCAATTGGTATTTTTATACTTACACTGTAAAATCATAAAGAAAAATCGTGGAATTGCGACAATTAAACAATATCTTTTTTCCTGAATTGTGAAGATGAAGACTGTTAATTGGTATATCCTATTAAAAGTACATTAAATCTCAATATTAATTTATTGCAAATATTAAAAAGTATGTAAAATTTGAAACATTATAATTCCTTTTATACGACATATTTTTTTACTTGATGATGTCACATTTATAATTCTGACATGAATATAATAATAATAATATGCTGAATTATCTATTGGGCTATATTAAGACTTATAACTAATTAATAATTAAATTACATAAGTATATTACTATTATAAGTAAAATTTAAATCAATTATTATATTAAAATGGGGATTTTTCATTTTACTTAAAAAAAATTATTAAAAATCCTTACTTGAGTTTCTATTAATTTAATTTCTTTATCCAACATCCACTGATTCATAATTTCTACATTAATTAAAATGTTATTGTTAAAACATATTGAATAATTTTTTAAAAATAATAAATGTAAATAAATTTATAAAATAAAAAATTAGCATAAAATCAAATTTTATATTATATAATTAAGTACTTAATTACTTACTACATGCACATAATTATATTTTAAAATAATATACTGTTTTTTATTGAAAAAATATAATACTTACAAAATCAATTAAAAAATTATGCTATTATTCAATAGTTTTTGTAATTATATTCATTTTAGCAAAGTAATTTATAATTCATTTGGGGCGCTGCTTGCAGTCGAGCGTGTTAGTGAACTTTTATGTGAGCTTCTTTGAAATCCAAATTATGGAAAATATCGAATTTTGGATTATGGTGTTCGAGTTGTTGTTATTTCTGGGCGGAATAGAGTTAAATCCTGGTCCTGTTGATCGTACTCCGCCGCATTCACAGATTCAGGCATCGGCATCCACTGCTAAACGACATCGTTCTCCGAGTGAACCTTCATTGAAAACGGCGAGATTAGAAGATTTCTTCCCTTTAAAGTCAGACACAAGTAAGTCTATTCCTGGGGAGGTTATTTCTTATTTGGATGACCGATTTGATAAGCTTTTTTCGACGTTAAATGAGGTAGTTGCGAAGATAGATTGGTTGGCTAATTTACATAATGACCATGATCGGCGTTTGACTCAGTTAGAAGCCAAACTAGGAGAGATTTCTAAAATTAAAGATGATTTGCAACGGGAAAACAGTTTGATTTTGTATTCTTTGGACAAGGTGTCGAATGAAGCGAGAAAGAAAAATTTTTTAATTAAAGGTTTGATTGATGATGGTTCTGATTTGAATAGGAAGGTGCAGAACCTGTTTTATACATTGATAGGTGAATCAAGACCTATTCCAACGGTTAAGATAGAGAAATTTAAACGTTCAGATATGGTATTGGTGGAATTGCAGTCATTTGCAGACAAAAAATTAATTTTTGCTAATCTTGGAAAGATANTAAACTTAAAAGAAAATCAGCTCCTGGCATGGACGGTATAAATAATGAATTTATTATATATTTACCTGATGAGGTGTGTTTAGAATTACTTACATTATTTAATAAGATTAAGGAGTCAACGATATTTCCTGAGCATTGGAGAAATGTGATGTTGAAAATGATCTACAAGAAAGGAGATAAATCAAAGCCTCAGAATTATCGTCCAATAGCATTGCTCAACACTTTTAGAAAATTGTTTACTGGAATATTGGCAGATCGGTTGAGTCAATGGCTAATGGAATTTAATATTATTTCTCAGTTTCAAGGAGCATTTGTTCAAGGAAGAGGAACTATGTATAATGTTTTTATACTTAACGGGTTAATACAGTATGTTTTGTCAAGGAAAAGACGTAAAATTTATTCGATATTTGTGGATCTGGAGAAGGCGTTTGATAGAATTAATCTTAATATTCTGTGGCAAAAGCTATATTCAATAGGACTTTCAACTTCGTTTATTAGGCTACTTAAAAACCTATTTTGTAATACAAGGTATTATGTGAGTGACAACTTAACAACTACTAAGGGCGTTATTTCTGGTGGGGGCTTACCACAGGGAGAGCCTTTAAGTCCTTTGCTGTTTATATTATTTATTAACGATTTACCACAACTGTTCTCTACTTCAGAAATTTCGGGCTTTGCACTAGGAGATACTGTTGACTTGCATTGTCTAATGTATGCAGATGACGTAATTTTGTTGGCAGATTCAAAGACGGGTTTACAGCGAAAACTTTCTTTGCTGGTTGATTACGCAGAAAGAAATGACCTCACAGTTAATTTACAAAAAACGAAGGGAATGGTTTTTCGCAATGGAGGTAGATTATCAAAATCTGACAAGATATTTGTGAATAACACTGAAATTCGATTTGTCACATATATTAAATATTTGGGAATACATTTTTCTTCATCAGGTACATTTAATCATCATTTTAGTTTGATAGACGAAGATATTCAGAAAAAGACAGGGTACATTCTCACTGTACAGAAACGTATGAAGCTAAACTCTATGAGAGGCATGTTTAGGCTTTTTGACGCTTTTATTGGTTCCAGGCTGTCTTATCTATTTCCGGTTTGGGGTTTGGAATATCTGTCTAAAATGGAAAAAGTTCAGATGAAATATTTTAAGAGACTTTTTAAAATAGAACGTTCAATTTCAAGTTCTGCAGTTCGTCTTGAGTTGGGAAGACCACCATTGGAACTGAAATTTGTTAAGGTTATTGTTTTGTTCTGGTCAAAAATCATGGAGTTACCCTCATGTGATTTGCGTCGAATAACATATAATGTTTTGTTAACAGCAGTTAAACATGGTAAGAAAAGTTGGCCAGCTTCAGTTAAAAATATTTTTGATGGCTTGGGTTATTCCTTTTTATTTTTATCTCATTCAGCTTCTTTGTTGAGAACCCATTTAAATGCACTAATTCAAACTAAGTCAGATCAGTTGTGGAACTGGGATATGTCTTCAATATCAGCTAAACGAGTTAATCTGTGTGAATCACGCTTGGTCTGGTGTACAGCAAGTTACTTGAATTGTGAGACTAATTTTTCTACAAAAAGCCTTATTATGCAACTCAGACTAAACAGATTTCGAATTTTGTTCAAGGGTTACCGGATAAATATATCCAGTGAAGGGTGTTGTGAATTCTGTGGTGTAAAAGAAAAAGAAGATCTTCTGACTCATTTGTTTGAATCCTGTCAAGTGACATACCAACTAAAATGTTCTGTATTAGGGGAGGAGTTTAGATGTGATTATTTGAAGAATGAGGTTATGTCAAAAATGACCTTATTTAAGCTCTTCTCCTTTTTCTCTAAATCTTTGGAATTTCTTCGTTAATTTTACTATGATTTGAATGTTTATATTATTATTTAATTTGTTCCCATTGTAAGAAATTTAAATTTAAATCAATAAACAATAATAATAATAATAATAATAATAATAATTCATTTATGTTAATTGTCAATCAAATATGTTGTCTGCTATAATCAATTTACTACTTTGTTATAATTCAGTTGCTATATTGCTACAGTTGTATATTATACAATATGCAGCTGTAGCAATATATTTTTTGAATTGTCATAAATATAATTAGATATATTTTTGACAAGACTTTGTCTTGTTTATAAAATTGTACTGCCACTCGTTCTTACCAGCATAGAGGTATGAAGAAGTACATGTCGAGAGTTGATATTTGGCACTGAGTATTAGGTGCCCAAATCATTTGCGCATAAAAAATCCAGACTCGTAGGTAGTCAGGGGACCGAGAATCGAGTCAAAATAAAATACAAAATGGCAACCCTCTTCTACAAACAGGCAAAACAGCCACCTCACCCCACCCCACCAATGTCAGGTAGAGGAAAGTACCACCCACAGTCATTCTAAGAAGTGAATTCTGACCTTAGGTCTGAACACGTAGTTTCTTCTATGTTAAATAAAATTTGTAATCTAATTTTGTAAATTTGGGAGTGCTTCAAATATGACATTAAAACAGAGTGTTGTTACAAGTAGGTTTTTTAACATTATCTAGTATAGTAAAATCGTAGGACCGATAAAAATTTGACATTATATTAGGGTTGTCGTTACATTCAATGACATTATAATCGGGTTAAACTGTATATTGTTTGTGCAAAATAAAAAAATAATTTCGGACGATACAATAGCCACGATTATTTTTTTCAAAAACAGGAACTTTTCGTTACGCATCAACAAAAATTCAGCCCGAGCCGACATGCAATGGAGAAAAATTTTGAAATTAGATAGGTTAATTTCATCGAAGATGCATTGTGGACGATCTCGTGGTTGTGACCGACAAAGTTTGAATGATCACGCCCAAAAGCAGTGATACCAAAGAAGATAGGAGAATGAAAACGAGACCTGCCTTGAGCATCAAAGTGATTCTGTCTCCGAGACATAGTTTTGTCCCAAATACGATTTTGCCGTTTTACTTGTCTAAATATATTTTAATTCTTGTACAGGGTGGTTATAATTAAACAGGAGATATTTAGAACTCCGTGAAGAAACAACTATTGGACCAAATGCACCAAATTTGGTGCATACTTTTCTAACTATGAGAGCTTGATTTTGAAAATAAAAGTTTAATTCTAAAATTTCCTAATGGAGAAATTTTGTGCTAATGTTGCTACAATTTGCATATTAGACAGGTTGTCAAAAAAAAATCAGGTAATGTAGAGAAGTTAAAATACAAACTGCAATGATTTCATTGCAATTTTTCTGGTAATTACAGATTTCTTCAGTTGTAAATGACCACAGATTATAATGGCACATTGGTAATTTTAAACATAACAAATTGTGCACATGGAAATGTTCAAGTGTTCAAGTAGCCAATAAATCATACTAACAGTTCTATTGTATGTACCGTCCATCTTCTTATAAAGCATGCATTCAATAACAATATACTTGACGGTGGAACGTAACTGATTTGAATACAGTTGTGTCACATGTGGTAAAATTCCATTTTTTAAGACAGATAAGTTAAGAACATTCCCTGATAAACAAGGCTGTTCAAATACCCCATAACTAAAAGTCACAAGGGGTCAAGTTTGGTGATATGTGGTGGCTATGCCATTGGAAATGATTGGCTAATCACTCTTTTATTTGTGAAGTGCTGATGCAATAACCTTTGTGAATTGACATAGAGTGATGTTCCATCATGTGTAAAGATTGTGGTATTCAAACAATTCTGTTGCTGAAATGTAGGAATGACAAAGTTTTGAAATATGTCTTGAGTCCATCGTGTACAGTATATCAGTAATCCAAAACTATAAATGTGATATTATTAACTATAAAGTTGTATTTAAAATATAAAGTATTTTAAATTTAACATTATTTAATGTTTCATTATACTATTTAGAAATTATTATTAGAGAAAAATAATTCATTTAAATTTTATTACTTTATATAAAAAGACAATTAAAATATATCAATAATTTTATTTTATAATGAATTTTTAAGTACTCTTACCTGTATTATCATGGGTCAAATAAGCATTCCATAATCTAATAATTCCAACACTATCTGCTGAAAATAATTTATTTCCCTTAGTATTCCAGCATAATGCATTGATGTTTCCATTATGACCTTCTAATTCCATATGAAGTTTTGATTCACCATTTAATTCTATAGTCCAAACTCTAATAATTTTATCATAACCACCACTAACTACAACTGAAGGATACTTTGGATGAAATTTTGCACAATATACAAAGCATGGATGAGGCAAAACTGATATTAATGAGAATGTAAAATCATTTATAGACCAAATCCTATAATAAATTATTAATAAAACTTTATATTCATTTATAAACAATAAAAATTATGGTTCAAAGAATGCAAACATTTATTTATTACTTTAAATTTACAATTTTCATATTTATAAATAGGACTATAGAAAGAATTAATTAAATTAAAATTGAATGTATTACCTCACAGTACTATCACCAGAAGCAGATACCAGTAAAGAATCATCGTTTGACCAATCTAAATCATATATAATACCAGAATGAGCTTTTATTTGATTCCGTAAAGTTCCTGATGGAATCTATTTAAACAAATTTAATTATTAGAGAAATGCGTTGAATTTGACTTTATATTAATAAACAAACATAATTTTTTAAACACATTTAATATTTTAATCATTAGGTTTAAATAATTATTTATTAATATTTGAATAATTTTCTTTTATAATTATGACTAATATTATCAAATGTTAGTTAGATATGTGGAAAAACTGGAATTTTGTAGTATAAAAATCATCAAATTCAAAAATATTATTATTTATTTCAAAACAAGAACTCTAATTTGTACCTTTAAATAGATTCTAATTGAAAATTCTTAAAATCTTTTAGTTATATTGTACAATTCTATTCTATAATAATTTTTAAAGTAAATATAACAAGCTATAAAAGTAATAAATATTGCTTCAAAAAATGAATGTTTATTTATAAATGACTAAAGACTTTCAGATTAAACAATATGCATAATTAAAATTAGCCTAATAGTCATCTACTTGATGCTATTTTTTCTTTTGTTCAGGTATGTTTGTTCAGGTACTTTTATAAACAATATTATTAAATAAAAATTATGGATTAAAGAATGCAAAAATTTATTTATTACTTCAAATTTAGTTTTCATATTTATGAATAAGATTGTTTAATTTTTTTGTTACTATTAATTTATATTATTAAACTATTCAAATGCTAATACAAATTCTGTTATTTAAATTCTTAAAATTTGTTTAAAAATTTTATTCCAAATAATATTTACATATTTTATTTAAATGAAGTTTGGCAGATAAAACTAATCCAAAAATTTAGAGCATTTTTGAAATAAATTTTTATTTTTAATTAAAAAAACAAAAGAATAAATAACAAGGTGTTATGTTAATTATAATTATTGTATGTTTGCTGTTATTCTAATACAGTCTTACATAAATTCTAATAATACAGAAGTCAAAAAATATTTCCTTTATTTCTGACAGTTTATATGGAACCCATTTTCCTCAAAAAGCATTTGATTTTATAACTTTTTTTTGTTAAACATTAATAAACATTAAAATAATATCAATCAATACATATAATAAAAACTTTTCTTGAACACCATCAAGAATATCAAAACAATAGACAAATGGTTAATTAATTTATCTACATTAGAAGAGTTGATGTGGATAACATGTAACTCTGTTCCCCCTTTAACTTTCCACAATTGTCTTCAGTTAATCAATGAATAAAGAGATGAGTGAATACAGAATAAATGGAAACATATGCTAAAGAAACTTCAAAATAAAACAACACTACTAAGATCTAATTCTGCATTATTTAGCTTTATAATAAATAAATTTTCTTTTATTAAATTTAGAAATAGAATTTTGTTTAATAAAATCTACAGATTTTTTTCTTTATAATAATAAATATTTTAAATATATGAGAGATGTGCAAAAGTTTTCATTACTGATGTTTAGACAGCATCATTTAAGTGAATGTTTAGACTTGTTTCAACATGTTTGTGTTTTATGTCAATTTCAATCAACTTAATAAAAATTATTGCATGACAATTCACTACTACTAACATCACATCTTTAGCTTTTTAAAAATAAAAGCTTAGTAGATATGTATTTGCCACTGTATGCTCTTTATGTTTAATCAATACAAAACTGCAGATAAAGCCATCAGAATCATTTATGAAACCTATGGTGAGGGTTCTATAGTTGAAAGTTCATGACCATCAGAGTAGTTTTGAAAATTCTTAGCTGATAATTTTGACCTGAAAGACAAAAAGCATTCTAGACTACAGACAAGTTTGGATGATTTAGAAGAGTTACTGCAAAATACAGTGGAACCTCGGTATACGTCTGCTTTAGAATACGTCCAATTCGGAATACGTCCTGTTTGGACGAAACAAATTTTGCTCGGTATACGTCGGCTCAGTATAAGTCGTATACCGAACAAAAGTCGTATAGACTTTTGTTCAGTATACGACTTAATTCAATTATACGCGCCATGTATGAACAAGTAGCACTATCGGTGTACTACACTAGACTAGACGTTCGCAGTGCTACGATTTATAACTTTGTTAAATTTTTTCTGATTTTTAATTTGTAAGTAACATTTTATTATTTTTATTAATCATGAATTGCAAAAGGGCAACAGAAAAATAAAAAAATGACTAGAATCACAACGGAACTGAAAAAAGAGATTGTTGAGAAATATGAAGGTGGCACGCGTGTTCAAGATTTAACAAGATATAACTGTTGCATTCCGTATTCCGAGAACGACGATATCGACAATCGTGAAAAATAAAGACATTATTAAATTTGCTAACGTTGCAAAAGGGGTTAAATCAATTTATAAACAGAGATCGAAGACATTAGATCATGTCAAGAAATTGCTTTTGCTTTGGAAAACGGAAAACAGTGTGCCGGCGACAGCATATCGGAAGAAATTATTTGCGAGAAAGTTAAAAGGATACATGCTGATCTCATGAAAACTCAAGCAGGAACTAGCGAGGAAAGCGAGGTGTTTAAAGGCAGCCATTTTTTTTACATGAGAACGGATTAATCATTTTTACATTACTTCTTATGGAAAAGGTTGGTTTGGTATATGTTCTATTCGATATAAGTCCAAACACCAGGAACGGATTATGGTCGTATACCGAGGTTCCACTGTAATTTGACTCAATGAAGTGTGAAACTTGCAAAACATTAAAGGTTAACCAGAGTACCATCATTCAATAATTATGTGCTATGGGAAAAATACAAAAAAAAGGAAAATGGGTTCCATATAAACTGTCTGAAAATACCATTGCTGGCCAAATCATAATTTGTCTTTTATTGCTCAATCAAGTCTTTTCTTGGATATAATTATGGCTGGCAATGAAAAATGGATTTACTAAGACATTCCTGAACATAAAAAGTCCTGGATATATACTAGTGAGCTTTCAAAGACAAAATAGAACATCCATGATCACAACGTGACAATGCCGAAGGGCCTCCCCATACTTCGGCACCACGTGACTGAAGGGTCAACATCGCGTCGGTGAAGATCGCAATGACAAGTTTCGTCAGGACTGACACCACTGTGTCTTTACAGACAGATACAGAAACCGTTAGGTTCTCGCACGAACGATCGTGTGTGTGAGCAAATGGATTCGGGATGGAGGGAGAGACAACGCACTGGAAGTGACTTACTCAGAGACAGGTTAACGTAACAAGTATTTAATGGGTAATTATAGGCCATACAACATTTCGATTTTAAATATGCTAGCTTTTATATACATTTCTACGATTAATAGATATTAGATATATATATCGGATATTAATGTTTTTTCCAATTCCCGAGAGAGAGAGAGTTTACAGAAGTTGCGCGTTGCAATAAATACCTTGTATGAAATCTTGATCTGCTTCAAGTCAGTTGGACACAAAAGAAGACAGTTCTTATTTCCATAGTTCTTAGTTAACTAGATATTAGGCGAGGAGGTATCCAAAGGCTGGGATATATCCAAAGGAGAGGAGGTTATCCGAAGATTTTAGCACAGGAAAAACTTGAGTGGTCTGATCGAGGAACTGGTGACGACTCCCCTTACTTTGTTGTTTTGTTCTATATTTTGAACTGTTGAAATCAAGATATTAGGTCAAGAGGTGATGAGAAAGCATCGTTGTCAGGCCTCAGAATTTAACACATGTTTTTCTCCCAGGTGTGAAAGTTGACAATTATTTATCAAGTTTATAGTTACGATGTGACGTTACGAACAAATGATGTAAACACATGGAAAGTCTGGATTCGGATCCTCACAACAATATACACCTGTGTATATAGTGGGATTTGCATAGGATGCTTTATTTCAAGCTATTATAAACAAGGCCAACTTCACAATGCTACAACCAACAACTAAGGCATTTGAATAAAAAACTGATATTAAAGTGACGGTGTTTTGCAACTACACAAAATAAGGTTATTCTCCTTCATGATAATACAAGCCCCATGTTGCCTTGGCAATCTGAAAAACTTTAATGGAAATGCAATGGAAAGTTCTTCAGCACCTGATGTACTCTTCAGATGTGGCCTTTTTGCACTTTCTCACTCCCTTCCATGCAGCATAGCTTGCTCAGTATAATTTGAAAGTTCAACAATGGATCAATGAATTCTTATGATCTAAGACCAGAGACTTTTTTTACTTTGATATCCATCTTTTGCCTGAAAGTTGGCAAAAGATGGTAAATGAAGATAGAAAATATGTTGATTAAAAATATTGTTTTACTCATAATAAAAGTTACCTCAAAAATGATGGAAACTTGCATAAACCTTTACATATGTTATGTTAAAAATGAATTATTATAAATGATAACTGTGTGGAGATCTAGACAATTTATTCATAGGATATATTTCTAATACCTAAATCTTTATTTTATTGAGGTTTTTAAAACAGAAAAATTGATAAAATTTATTAATACAGTAGAGCGTCGATTATCCGAAAGTCAATTATCCGAAAGAATTCCAGTTGGCAAATTTAAATTTTCGCCAGTGCTGTGGTGCTGCAATCTTTGGCTATGTGTTGGGCTACTCAAATATTTTACGTTTTTGATACTAAATTAACTTCTGAAGTATAATTTTTTATTGTTTTTATATTTTTCAATATATTTATTTTGTTTGTATAAAATAAAAATATAATTTTTAATGATACAATAGTCTTCGTTAGGCTTAACATCGATAAAAATTCAATGCGAAGCGACATGCAACAGAGAAAAATATCAAGATGAGATAATTTAATATATTTTTTTGTACATAATTGGTTATCCGAAACATCGATCTTCCGAACAACCCCAGTCCCCAATTGATTCGGATAATCGACGCTCTACTGTATTTTTGTTTTATCAAAGTGATAAAGTCACAAAATTAAAGCCACATCCTGTCAAAAACTGACGACACTTTTTACTTTTATGGAAAAAGGGGAAATTCCTTTAACTGCACCTTATCTTGATTTTCTCACACCATCTGGCCAATTGACACATCAGATCATCCTGTCAGATGATCTGATTCTTAGGTAATGATCGGAGAAATCTGCGCATAAAAAGAGCAATTTCCAATCATTCCAGGAAGTTCTCGCCAACATTAGAAGACGCTAGTCTGATCTCCACTATTCAAGAAGTCTGGTTGCCGCTACCATCTCCTGAGGTACTCCTGATGTCCAACAAGGTAGTATAGATTTACTTGTAAACTCTCTCTCTCTTGCGAGAAATAGGGATTATAGTATCTATATTAAAACCAAATTATGTAGTATACTTTTCCATTTTATTTTATTAAATTGATTTCGTTTTCTTAAATGGCCTCTTATTTGTCTCTAAATATACGCTAATGTCTTATTACAAGACCACGCATCCTCCCCCTCAGACTACTTTAATTTGACCTAACTGGTGTTGGAATCCTGACTAGACTAGAATCTGACAATTTTGTAGTCTTACTTTTCATCAAAATCCATCCTGTGATGAAGTGGGAAGGACTTACCATCCTGTAGCTGATTAAGTGGTATACTGAAATTTATCGTATACCCCGATTCCTCACAAATGTTATATAGTTATATTCAAATCTTAATTTATTAAAATTATTCAAAATATAATTGCTGCTTTCAAAAGTTTTGGCTTTATGATTTTAAAAAATGAAAAAAGAAAGCAAACCAAAAAGAAAAAGATTATAATTATTTATGGCTAAAATACCTCATGAAGAATAATGTAATGTCCATTTTCTAAACTGCAACCATAAACTAATTCTCTACAAAAGAAAGGAAAAATTAAAAACAAATTAGTTTAATTCATAAAAATAAATTAATATAAAATAATGTGTGCTTAATGTTAACTGTTTTGTTTCTTGAATAATTTAATAAAAAAATGTAATTTAAAATTCTAAATGAATATAATCACATTATTATTTAATTATATCAATATCTGTTTAAATATTAATATTATATATCAATAAACAAAATACACCTAAATTTTTCTTATATGAGCTTTTAAAACTAGCAATTTATTAAATTTTATTTAATACTAGCTGCAAGGACCCGCTTCGCTGGGTTTTTATTTGTTCATACATTTGTATGTAATAAAGTTTTTTTTATATATAAAAGACTGTTTTTCTAAGTAATCTAGAATCTAGCTGCAAGGACCCGCTTCGCTGGGTTTTTATTTGTGGGCAAAAAGTAATGATAGTGAAGATTAAGATAATTACATTATAGCCGATCTTACCCGTTTTCACAGAATGCAAGAATTAGGTCTCCCGTTTCCAGATTAATTAGAGACCTGGTCCTGATTCTATTTCTGAACGTCTCCTGTTCACGTCCAGTCAAACGAACTATTTTCAATGTTTCTGGAACGTTTACAATCGTTCTATAATCGAACCAATATTTGAATTTTATGTTCGAATTCAAATTCGAATATTGTTTGAATTAAATTCGAACAATATTCGAACATAAAATTTGAAATAGAAAACCACTTTCAACCACTTTCAGCCCCATATCTCCAGCACCCTTATAGCTATCAAGACGCAACCACCATAGTGCATGAATGGAGACTTGGGGCTACTATCACATACAAACACCATTCATGTGCGATGTGTAGTTTTGGCAGAAAAGTGAAATATAGGGACACACATGTCCATTTTTATATATATAGATTAAAATATTACATTCACAAGCACAATACACAAAAATATATCCTTAGTGTCTTTATATTCACCCTTTTTCCTACCACAGGAAAAAAAGTCACAAAACTATAAGTAAAAGACACAAAAAAATAAATAAAATATTTAAAATCATGTTTGATTATTTGTAACAATATACAGTATTTCCATCCAGCATATTTTATGAACTGAAAATATTTTACAAGAATTCATTTCCAGGAACAGCTTGAAATCTACATACTATAAGTGTTTCTCACAATGGGTAAAAGTTCAAGCAATAAATTGGTCCAATGAGTTATGAATGAAAAAATAAGATATCTATTTTGTTCCCACACTAATTTTGGAAAGTATTTTATTTTTTAATCAGATATTTTTTTCATGTATAAAGGAATTTTTTAAACTTTGGCAACCAAGTAATGTAAAAGAAAGTAGTGAATAAAAAGGTAACTGTTTTGATAAACTTTATCTTCAATTTTAATTAATTAATATGTTACCTTAATAAAAGTGTGAATTATAGAAATATATTAGTAAAACACTTTACAATGTTTGAAATTCATAGCACAGATACACCACTGAATTTCCAGCAACTGATGGTCTGGCACCTCTTTTAATCTGGACAAAATTACAAGGGGAAATTTGAAATTCCTGTGGCCACTAGACAAGTATACTGAGCAACCACAGATGACACTGTGTAGAGAGACACTTATTTACATTATTTATACTGCGCTTGTCAGTGGTGTTGTGAGGAGTTGAGCCCAAATGCTATTTTGTAATCTGGAGATGTTATGATTACATCTCCAGATCACAAAATAACATATGATTTGTTTCAGTATTTTCTTATTTTAGGGAGTTTTTGTTAAAAGAGCAAAAATCCATACCCTCTATTCAAAATTAATCTCCATTTAGAAAACTGAGAACTACTCCATGCTTATTGTTGCTTACATCAGTGGGTCTCAGTCAAAAATGGCATTTACAATTTGGAAAATTAAAAGAAAAAGGTCATTAAAACATTATACCTCAAGTTAATTTGATCTACATAATATTGGTAATATGTTGTTACTTATTATAAGGAAAAATTGTCAGTAAAACAATTGTTATCAAATAACTTTGTAGATGAGCACGTACTAATGTTAGAAGTGTAATGTTACATTTGATGCTTTAAAAGATTGTGAAAGCCAAGCCAAAATATAATTCCCAATTGAGACCAAGTATGACAAGTAGGTGGTTTGAAAAAGTTGCAATTGTAAGGTAGAAGTTAAGGAGCATTTTGTTTTTTTTTTTTTGTTGGATAAAAGTTGTTGAATTCTTTTGCTATTGTTGCTTAAAATAATAATGAAGTTTGATTTGAACTAAGTAATTTTTTTGCATTTATTGTTGTATCACTTAATGCATTAGTGTTGATTAAAACTTTGCTAAAAATTTGCTAATTATAAATTAACTATTGTAATTTTTGTAAAATATTAACTTTCATTGTTAACATGCTCATCTTGTTAATTTTTGAAGTTTTTATATCTAAAATTGGATATATGGTCAAGATTAGCGATCATAGCTGCAATTTTATGATATTCTTAGTTTATTTTTATTAAATTTAGTGAGTGTCAGTGGTGATGTGAAAAGTAAACACCAGTCATATCAGTCCAAAATAAAGAACTGTTGAAAAATTAGATTGTGGTGCTTGGTGCAAAACCTATAAGACATTTATGATATTGGTTCATCAATTGTTTATAATATAAAGAAGCAAAGAGTACTAATGTATTAATGTACAAGTACTTGTATTATATTTATCAGTTTATTAAATTTACATTTAATAATTATTTAATTTAAATTTATAGCAATCCATGGTTTACTTTACATACCTGGGAGGTGTATAATTAGTGAGTTATAGGTGTATTGATAAATTAATATTATACATGACCACAATTGTTGTGGGAAAATGGATAATCTGGTAAATCTGGTAATTTTCAAACCAAAGATGCTGGAAATTTGGTGATGTACCTATATAATAAAATGTTTATCTTATTTTAAAAATTTTTTAAAATTTCAGAAAAAGATATTAATGTGAGATCCGGAATTTTTAACAGCTATTTCATCTAATTTTCGTGAAATTTTAACTTAATGTCTTAACACGATCTTTAAATCAACATCACCAAAACGGTATAGATTGCCATCCTTATCCTCAACAACTGATAAAAGTTTATAACACTCCTTTAAGAATGTCAACATTCGCCCGTCCAAACATCGTCAATCTAACATTGTAGGTATCAAAAAAAATTATAGTTGACGTCCAATTTCACTATCTTCCCATTGTCCCAGGAACACCTCTGACCCAACACCTGCAAAATCAACCTTCATCTATGACAACACCTCATCACATGACCATTTTCCCAGGCTGATCCAAATATAAGACCAACACCCTCATCCAGGGAGTCTCTCACTGAACGTTTAAACTTGTGCACCGTTGTATTGTGACCAGGGATTATTATAATAGTCAGGCGAAAATTATTAATTGGTGTAAAAGTGTTAAAGAAAGAATTACAGTGCAAACTTCAAACATTATAGGAAATTCAGAAATTATAGGAAAGAGGTATGATATTGAAACCAATGTAAACTCTCTCTCAGCTCCTCTAAACTGTATGTGAAAGTTAGGAATCTTGTTAATGTACAAGATAATATCATAAAGTACTCAGCAAATCATTATACATATACAAATACTTAACACCTTATTCTTGCCGAGAAATATAATTTATTTGAACAAACTAACGTTTTCAGCCTGATTCACAGGCCATCTTNTGATAGTAAAATTCAATAATTCTTTTTAAGAAGAAGGGAAAACAACAGATGCGATTAGTTTCGTGACATATAGTGTAACCAGAACTGTTCTCTCCCCCAACAGAGGTATTTTAAAATTGTAAACTCTCTCTTGGCCCCTCTAAACTGTATGCAAAAGTTAGGAATCTTGTTAATGTACCAGATAGTTTAGAAAGGTTATGTCTGAATTTTTTTATGTAATTAACTGATTATGTAATTAACTGTGTTATTCATTAAACTATTTTGATTTTTCTTGTTAATGGTATCTGTTGCTCATATGTCACATATGCCTTACCAACGACCCCTCTCACTCTCTTCCACTTAACCTGACAAACTGATCCTGAGACCACAGGATCGGAAATGAAAATGTGCCATCCACTGATACAGTGAGCAGTTTTTACCAAACTGTTTCCAGCAAAGGGGTAAGACCTCGGCCTTACTCCTGGTTACTCCCATTAGTAATACTTTCACAAATACTTTATATTAGAAGAAATATCATACCTGCCAGAATGAGAAAATCTAATAGCATTACATCCAAATGCTGATACTTGTGATGCAATGAATATTTGATTTGGAATTTTGCACGTTTGACCTGCAATACGAGTCCATAATTCAGGTTGTAATAAAGGTTTCTTTGGTGAGTCACTAAAAATATTTTTTTAAATGTCTTCAAGTATTTATAAAATATCATAAATCATTTAAAATTAAATAGAATTTACCTGTGACTATTTGATGATGTTACATTTTGAATCTGTATATGTGCACTGAGACTTTTCTCCTTCAAAAATAAATTTTAAAATTCAACATTATTTATAATTAATTTAAATTAATTGAAAAAAATTTCATATAAGAGAAAAATTAACACTAAAAATTCAATAACTAAATAATTTAAATAAAAATAATCTTAAGTGAATTTTCTAATTAACTTACTTCAATAATTTCATATTCATTACAGTCTAATATAAAACTATATTATATAATATATTTTTAAGAAAATTCATTTACCAATAAAGGTAAATGTACATCTATTTTTTATAATAGTTTTTGTGTGTTTTCAAGAAACATAATAAAGTATTAATTAGAAAGATTATTATTTCATATTTTTAGTATTTTAATGAGAAAGAACAAATAAATTATCATATAATGCCAATGTATCATTTTAGAATATTACTTAAAAAGTAGCACTATACAACTAATTTTCTCAAATAAAAGAGTAATCTTATGAGATGTCTTAATCAGTCTTCCACATCAAAAAATTATGAAATAATTAATTTATTATCATTTCTATTATTAATAAATATGAATAATTAAAAATATAGTAATAATGATATAACCTAATATCATTTATAATATTAATCAAGTATGATGACATGATATCAATCAAACAGTTTTAGTTTCATATTAAATCAATATACAATTGTGACCAGAGGGTCGGCATCTCTTTAGCGCCTCGTCAGGACTGCTACCACTGTGTCTTCTAGGATAGACACAGAAACAGTTGTGACCGCAAACACAGAATTTGCGCAAGTGATCACATGTGCAGGTGGTCAGATTCGGGATGGAGGAGTGTTGAGAGATGGCAGATTGGAAAAAGTGCATACTACTACTTAATTAGAACAGAAAATACCCATTTATTTATATAAATATTTACACATATACACAAGGTAACAGAGAGTTCTGTTTAGCTTTCTAATAGAGAGTTAAATTGTCTATAGCTATAGAGCATCACCTGTGGCTAACGGACTCCTGACCGAGAGAGAAAGCTTACAATATTACACACTAGGCAAAATACCTTGATCGGCAGCTTGATTGTCATGTTGTTAATCGAAGATCGTAGAGGTGGCAATGATGTGGTAACATGTCAGTCTCTTTTTTGTTTCTGGTGTATCTTTTGAACTGGATCATCTTGGATCGTTGGAGGGAATTTGTTGGCTTGTCAGGTTCAGGAGCGGCAACGGGATTGAAACGGTGACCAAGAGATCAGAGAAAGGCAGATGAAGCAGTTGGTGATAGAGCACTCACATCAAAAAAAGAAAGCTGACTTGGTGAACTCTCAGACTCTTGACAACCCCTTGTCCTTGAGTCAATCCTTTTTATATCCTCAAGTCATGTTATCCTTTTTCACCAATAGTGAATTTTTGTTATTAGTTCCCAGTGACATATTTGATGAGTTCCATGGGAAAGGAAATGACTTCAGGGAGAGAGATGCGATCATCCTCCGGTAATAAAATTGAAAAAAAAAAACCCCTTTTTTTCATTGGGACCAAACAATGAAATATGAATTTTCTCTCAAAATGTTCATCAGGTTCAACTCTCACACAATTATATTGCAAGATTTACAAATTATTTTTATTCCATGTTTTGAAACCGTGTTGTATCTTTGTTTGTTTTATATATGCAATGTAGCGTAATAACGATCACTTGGCACTATTCATTCTTTTATTTCAATATTCATTGGTACACATTTTTACACACGTTTTGGGCTTCATTTTCCCCCTCTTCAGTCAACTAAAGCATATAAAACCAATTTTACATACACCATAACCCGACATATGAATTTAAAAAATTGTGAATTATACAAGTAGCACATAACATACCTTTAAAATCACAAATTCCATCTTTAGATGTGTATTACTACAAGCGGGAATCATACAATATATATTGGATCATTTCAAATACCAGGCCAAAGACTTAATCTTACTTGGTACATACTTGCCACCCTGACTACTAAAACAATTGTAAAGAGATCCATGATCGTCTTGCCAACATGAATGGAGCAAGAAGCATTGTCTACCCAACAGAGGTATTTTAAAATTGTAAACTCTCTCTTGCTCGCTTAGAAGTATATGGTAATGTAAGAATGGTATATCTAAAACCTTGCAATCGAGCATTTAATTAACTATACAGTATATCATAATCCACTTATGTATTTAATCCCTTTATGTTTCTTATTAAATTTGTTATTTTGTCTTTACTCAGAGAAATGGTTCCCCCTATCAACAGACTCATCAAACTTCCCCACTCAACATATAGCTCTCCTATTTAACAATAAGTTAGCATTATTGCGAGTTAGGATGCAAACTACAACTATCCTAACTGGTATCAGGAAAAACAGTCCTCAAGATCTAACGATATTGAGACAACTGTATTTAACAGCCACCCAGTGACAACTGAGCAGTCCTCACCAGACCATCACAAATCAAAAGGGATTTCAATCGATATTAATCAGCCCCTGGCTTCTCACAATATTAAATTAGCTATCAACATTTGCTTAAGGAAAGAAAAAGTAGTGACAAATGAAACTACACGACTTTATCGCAAAAAACAAAAATTTCAGAAAAGCCAGGACCTTCATCATAAAAACTGAACTTTACATTTCTGTGTGCATATGTATTAATTTGCATGTGTTATTTAACATATGCAAATTATTATAATTATATTATGCAAATTAACATAAAAATAACTTAAAATTAAAGTAAAATCTGTTTATTTTTGGTCATGTGTTCCCCTTTCCCTATTTACTCTATGTTAAAATGACTTTGTTTAACTGTTTCGTTTAGTGTTTTGTCGTCTTGGAATGCACCCCCACTTAACGTGGGGGTGCGTTCCAAGACAACAAAGCACTATAACTTTTTATTTCTATGGTCTCTTATTACAATGAAATCATCTAATTTAATATTGTGAATGAAATATTGTAAATTATATAAATAAAGTTTAAAATAACAATTTATATTTATGTTATAATAAATTAGAAGATAATTATTTCTTAACACTACTGTTTATAAACTAAATTTTTCTATAGTAAAATTAAGCAAAATATTTTCTAGTAAAACCAAAATTAAATTAATTAATTAATTATGATTATTTACTTCTTGAAATGGTGCCATTGAACGAACAGTTGAATCTACAGATTTTGGTAAGATAACTGGCTTTACAGTAACATAGAGTGTTGAAGGATAATATGATTTCTTGAATTTTGACCACCAGTTAAATACCTGCAAACAGTTAAAATATTTCTTGTTTTCAAAATATATAATAAATATCAGACCAAATATCCAAGTTAAAAACAGAGTATCATAACTAACTATTTATTTATCATTACTAATGAATATTAATGTTAAAAAATTAAAATTGGTTAAAATATTTCATTTTTTTTAATAATGATTATACTCTTCAAAAATGAAAAATTTGGTTAAATTTAATGATAGAAATTTAAGCCTCTTCTAAAATTGTATGTTCCATATTTTAATGATATTAACAGATAAAAACCAAAAATATGTTTATTTATTTATTTATTATCAATCAATCACTCTTTATTTGCAAAAAAAGAAATATCCCTGTTGCCAGGGTTGTACATAATTTAGTTAGCAGTTCACAAAATATTGGAACAGTTAACAGGTTAGCAAATTTATACAATTATGAAAAAAGTTTCATGTCAAACTGTTATTGACATAAACAAAAAACAATTTTAACAAAAGTAACTATGCAGAGATAGTCAAATTTTACAATATTAGTACACATTGAATTTGTTATCTTAGATTTTCAGTGTTTTTACAGTCTTGGTGAAGTAATTGTATAGATTATAAAGGTCTTTTTTTGTTGAGGTTATTTAGGATATTTCTGAAATTGTGAGTATTTGCGTGATATTAAATGAGTCATGTATATTTGCAAGTCCTTGACAATTCTGTAGTAAATGATGAAAAATCAAGAATCATCGAGAATCAAGAATTAATCAAGAAGTCATCGGTTTTACACCATGGGCATTGGTTGCCTGAAAAATCAATACAAATGTTACCAATGAAGAGGAAATATTTATTGAGTCACAGTTGTGCTATGAGTCTTTTCACATTGAAATTTATTGGTTCATTCGTATAAGGTTGAGAGGATGGGATTTTTAGATACCAGGGATGGTAATTAACTACAGTTTAGGCTGGCTTGGTCTATATTTATAGAATGAGAAATTGCAGATCCCAGTAACAAAGTATAACCATATTTCCAGTCTTGGATATTATTTTTAAACAATAGGTCTGATACTCCAAATGAGTTCAATATATTATTTAACTTAGTTTGCTGAAGATACTTTGTTGTTGGTTTTTACAATATTTGATTAATACTTGATTTAAAAAGGTAATGTTGCTGTCACTTTTAAATTTTAAATGATAGTAAAATTCAATAATTCTTTTTAAGAAGAAGGGAAAACAACAGATGCGATTAGTTTCGTGACATATAGTGTAACCAGAACTGTTCTCTCCAAATGGATTAATTTATGGAAGAAATAAATATGAAAATTTCCTAATTTGTATAAGTAGTCATGACCCCAGATTGGACTAGCATAGTAGATGATTGGGTTGATTATCAACTTTTACAGTTTCATATGGATAAACAGATTTAAAGTTTTTAAAGTAGAACACAAAAATAACAAGTTATCGATAGCTAGTTTTACTTTATTATTTAAACTCAAAATGTGTGCTTTGAATGTATGATTTCAGTCAAAGGTAACTCCCAGGAAGTTTATTTTGTTTACTATCTGCAGAGGATTTTTGTCAAGATATATTATAGATTCTTTTTTTGAAATTTTGCTGTTATTATGGAATATGAGGACTTTTGTTTTAGTGGGATTTATTGTTAAATGAATCGATTTGAAATAAGAATTTAATTGGTTGATTCTTCTTTGCAAGGAAACTTTTGTATACGCTAAAATTTCCAGGTCGTCTGCAAATAAGACATAGTGAAAGCCTCTGTTGCTGAGTTTGATACAGTCAACCCCCCCTATAACACTATTGATTATTCCATATTATATGAATTCCATGTTGTACGAGTCACTTAGATTTTACAAATACGTGAACTGTTCACAGCCCGGCACATGTATTTGTAAGATCTAAGTGACTCATACAACATGGAATTCATATAAAATGGAATAATCAACAGTGTTATAGGGGGGTCGACTGTACTTGAAAAAGTTGATCAATCTCTATTAAATAAAAGTTGAATAGGTAAGGTAAAAGGGGATCACCTTGAAGTACACCACGGGATAAGACTAGTGAAGGAGAGATGGACTTGCCTTGTTTAATTTTTACATTATATACTAAAAATAATTTTGATATTGTAGATGAAAATTGCAGATGAAAATGCTCATTTAGCTTTTAAATTGTGCACCAGTAAGGGAACATAGACAGAATCGAAAGCTTTCTGAATGTCTATGAACGATATATATACTTTTCTGTGTTTTTTAGTTAAGTGAAATTGTATTAGAGATGATAATAAGAAAATAGCAGATTCATTCCCTTATTTTTGAAAAAAGCATACTGGAATTTAGCTTCAAAGTCCATTGTTTTAGTCCATAGTTGAAATTTTGTAGTTAGTATTATCATAAAACATTTTCTCAAGGTTGATAATAGGGCTATGGGTCTATAATTACTTTGAGAGAGTTTGTTGCCTTTTTTATATATCATTGTGAATATTACATAATTCCAAGAATCTGGATATTTAGTTGCTTTATACATTGAGTTGAATAAGTGCAGCAGTTTTATTCTAGCTTGATTTGGGAGTGTCTTTAAAAATTTAGTTGGGATGACATCACATCCTGGGGATGTGTTGCTATGAGTTTTATTAATGATATCTTCGAGTTCTTTAATTGTAAATTTGGAGTTAAGGAATTTGTTGTTAAATCAGAATTAGGTATTAGTGAAGGAATGGGTTGGACAACTGGAAATCTCTGGTAAAAGTTTTCCCATGTTTCAAAGTTTATTGTTGAGATGTTATTGCATAAATCTATTTTAAATCTACTTTAATTGCATAAATCTCTAAAATAGTTTTATGGATTAATTTTCATATTAAAGACCAAAATGATTTACTATCTCTGTTGTTCTTTATTAGTGTTGATTCAAGATTTGCAAAGTAGTTTTTCTTTTTAGCTTACAATAAGTTATTATAGATTTGTTTGGCCTTTCTGTAGTTATTGAAGTTTAGGTTATTTGAATCTTTACAAAATAGTTTTAAGTTGGTTTGTTTCATTTTTTTCATCTTGTAACAATGTTGTACCGTGGTTTTTTAAATTTGTTTTGGATGGGTCTTTTGTCATTTTTAATTTGGATATATTCGTTAATTATCTGAATCATATGATTATAAGTTGCTTTGCTATTTAGATTGGTTATTTCTGGAATGTTGATAAATCTGTTTTCAATTCCATATAAATAACTTGACATTTTGTAGTAAATTCTATGTTGCCTGTTGGAAAATGATCAGATGCATCATGTGTAGTTATAGTGAATTCCAAACACAGTCCAACAAAAATTCTGAACATATAGTGAGGTCTACAATGGATTTACCACTATGTTTGATACAGGTAAATTCTGATGGATAATCAGGCTTGATATGTCCATTTAAAATACACTATTTATAATTACTTATTAAATTTATTAAGTTTATTCCTAGTTGTTAGCATGCTTGTCTTTAGAACATTGGATGTCTTGATTTTGTGGGTTAGGAACACTGTATTGAGAGTCTGTCATCTCAGCAATATGTGAATTAAAGTCTCCAAGTAGGAGGATATACAGAGTGATGTGCTGCCAAAGATCAATTATTTTAACTATTTTTTGTTGAGTTTTACCAAACAGTTGGGAGGAATGTAGGCAACCATTACAATTATCAGTTGATATCTTTGTTTCTGAGTATAGGTTTGTTCATTGAAAGTAGAAGCAGAATGTAGTTATCAGATTTTTTGGTTTGAAGTATTTTTGCAAAGGTGTTTTTTTTATTAAAATTACATAAACCACCATTTAGATGTCCTGGGCCAAGCAGTTTTCATGCTAGTACTGTTTCAGTTATGTAATCATTGAAAAAAGTTGATTTATAAAATGATTTGAGTGTTATCCATATTTCAGTTATTCCTACTATATCTGGTTTATATTTTAATTAAAAGGAATTCAGTGATAGTAATTTATTTTTAAGGCCTTAACTGTTCCAGTTTATGATAGAAGCTGGTTGTGTGTTTTTGATATCTTTTCCCCTGGTGAAATTTACTTTGATGTGCTGCATATCAACTTGCAATTTCCATTGGCATAGGAAAAGACAAAAAAGTATCCACATAAACCAACTTCTCTGTATCAATACTGAATGTTATTCAATCTTGACCTATTAGTAAAAATTCATTTTGTAGTTTTATTGGACAGTTTTGTTTTCTTATGTCATAATAGGTTGAAAGTGTTTCCATCTTTTTCATGATTCCTTAGTGAGATCTGCATATTTTCCCAATTTTCCAATAGATTCTGTTGTTTCTTTGATATAAAGGCATTAAAAACCTGGTCACGAATCTGTTTATTACAAATTTTTAGTCTTATGACTGGACTGGTTGATTTGAGTTATGTCTAGAATCTAATCTTGTAATACATTATGTAGGTTTAGTAAAGAATTGATAAATTTGTGAATTTCTAATTTAGAGATATTTTTGACATAGGATAATTATACAACATTATATTGTTATAGTGAAATTTGTAAATCAAAGCATCCTTTTTTTACAGCATGAGTTCTTTTTCTGATTTTAAATTGTCAATTTTCAGTTTCAGGTTATCAATTTGGCCTTCCATTTTTTGGAACTGTATTTTATTTTCATGTATACTTTTGTGAATTAGATCCAAATCTTTTATAGAAGTCATTTTGGTAGATAGTTCGTCATTAGAAGTGTTTATCAGTTCTGAGATTTTATATCATAGATCTGTTGTTGTAGTGTCAGGTGAGTCACCCAAATTAGTCAGAGATCAGATAGAATCACCTGGAAAACTTTGTAGACTTTGTGATATTGTGTCCATAAGAGAATTGTTGATCACTAAGTATGGTTCTTGTAAGTCTTTATCCATTAGTAGGTTAAAGTCTGTTATAAGCTTGGAGTTAGATGAGCTTGGTTGAGCCTTGTTACTTCTTGGTTTGGTCCAGTTAAGTGGAGGTCTACCATGTTTAATTGATGAACGTTGCATATCAATTAATTTTTAGTATTTCTTCAAAGATAATGATTTATTAGTTTTAAACACTTTTGGTTGACGTGGTTCTGTTAAAGATGATAAAAACACTTGTTCCTTGATTCTTGTTAAAGTGCAAAAAGAAAGTCACAAACAGCGCTGGCGGTCAAGACACGCCACCCTTATTTATTTATTTATTTATTTATTATTATTTATTAATTAACAAAAATAGCTTTCTGTATAAGTAGTCTTATTCTGTTTGTTTAATAAATTATATCAGTCACATGGCATTTGGCATATTATACAGAAATATGTAAATCTTGAATAATTTTAAATTTGGTAATTTGACATCATGAATATTTTGCCCCCTGAATTTTGAACTAACAAGGATTTCCTCTATACAGTCTAAATGATATATGAAAAAACAAAATTAAGTCAAAATTATATTATTGTTATTATTTTATTATTATGTTGGGTTTAGTGACTTACACCTAGTTGACACTGGCTGCTGTGTACTATGCCAGAACAGAGTAAAGGCATAACAATGAGACAAAATAAGACAAAAATTAAATATTAGTATTAATGTTGTTAAAATAAATACATTTATTAAACTACTTTAAACAGTAAGTAATTAATAAAATATAATAATTTGTGCTACCTCTAAGCCTTCAATTTTTTTCCAAAATTGAAATTTTGGTGGATTATATAATTGTAATCTCACTTTCTGCTCAGTATTCAATATATCATTAGCACCCACAAGCTGAAAAATATATACAATGAAATTAAGAAAAATTAATTTAAAATGTTTTTTATTATTAGAATCATTTAAATAATGTTTTATTTATAAAATTTAACTTTTGGTTATTTGGAAAATCAAATTATGTTAATCTTAATGATTCTAACTGAAATCATAAAATCCTTTACTTCATTTAATTTCAAGTTCTCAGAAAACAGAACTACCTTCAACATAAATTTGTTATTTATCAAAATCCATTACATAATACAAATCTGAATAGATTTTACAATTTTTACCATATTATCAAAAATAAGATACTGTATTGTACTGTTTCTAAAAATTATTTGTCAAAAAATCATAAAATAAAATTAAAAAATTCTTTTAAAGTATTTTTATGATTAATTGATAAAAAAATTTTTTTGAATAAAATGTTGTGTAAATAATTTCATTTTTACAAACTGAATCACAAAATATTTGTACAATGTAATTTTCAAGCCAGTTTGAAAATTTATTATTTAAGAAAAACCCTTTACTGAGTAAATAAACTTTTATATGAATAATTATAACAAAATGCTTAATGGAATAGGAAATATACAAAGAAAAAGAAAAGTTCAAGGGCTTTTGAGTTAAATATTCATCACCAAAATTTATTATTATAATTCTAATTACATTATTATTATTGTGTTGGGTTTAGTGGGTTATACTCGGTTCACACTGGTGGCTGTGTACTATGCCTGACCAGAGTCAAGGCATAGTAACCAAAAACAAAAATTAAATAAATGTGTTAGTGTCTGTATTCAGGAATTTCCTAACAATATGGCATGTATTCAATATAGTAGCCCTCTGTAGTGTGATGTATGTATTTCTATTCAATTGTAATGTTCCCAGGCTTTTGCGTAGTGTGTGTGGTATCACACCTGTACAGGAGAGAACGACAGGTACAATAAGCACTCTTTCCATCCTCCACAGATGCCTTATTTCCTGGGCAAGTTCTGTGTACTTGCTAATTTTTTCAGTGCTTGTATTTTGTATGTTGTGAGTGTTTGGAATGGCTATGTCTATAATGTATGTGATTTTATTGTGTTTGTCAATGAGTGTTATGTCTGATCTGTTGTGGTAAATTGTTTTATATGTGATTATGGCTCTGTCATAGTACATTTTGTGCATGTTGTTTTCCAATACAGTTTGTGGTATATACTTGTAGTATGGTGTTCGTGAATGTCTACCAATTTGTGTTTCTTTGCAAGCTCTTGGTGTATTATATTTGCTACTTGATTATCCAATGTCCACACAGCAAACAGGATAAAAATGCTGGTTATCAAAACATTAAATTACAAGTCAAACAGTTCCCAAGCATTTAAGACTGTGTGATATATCTTTGAATGATGCAAGCAGATCCAAGTAAGGTGGCCTTTTACAGCTGGCAGATAGTAATTTTGTCAATATTTATGGTTTGTAAGTACCGGCTAAGATCTTTTGGCACAGTCCCCAGTGTGTCGATAATCACTGGGACCACCAGTACTGGTTTATGTCAGAGACTTGATTATTATTATGTGTTGGGTTTAGTGGGTTATACTCGGTACACACCGGTGGCTGTGTACTATGCCGGACCAGAGTCAAGGCATAGCAACCAAAACAAAACTAAAATTAAATGTGTGTGTCAGTGTCAGTGTCAGTATTAAGGAATTTCCTAACAATATGGCATGTGTTCAATATAGTGGCCTTCTGTAGTGTGATGTATGTATTTCTACTCAATTGTAATGTTCCCAGGCTTTTGTGTAGCGTGTGTGGTATCACACCTGTACAGGAGAGAACNATTCTTTTAAATTTAGAAAAATCATAGAATATATAAATATGAGTTAGTTAGTTAATTAAATTAGTAAATTAATCAATTAATTATATGTACAATTAATATAATTAATTAACTTTCACTCAAAAAAAAAATAATAGAATTCATGAACATGTTTGCTGGTATTCTCAATATTATTTCTGAAAATATTCAATGATTTAAGATTATTTTTATATTTTAAATTTAATACATTTAATCTTCAATTATAATAATAATTTATAATACAGTATATAAAAAATTTTATTTGAAGTAATGTAACATAAAAATAATTATTTAAAATTAAAAAAATTAAAATTAACAGAATATAATTTGTCATAATAATATTATAGTGGTAATATTATATTTGTTTTATTTTTCGTTAACGTATAAAATAAATAAATGAAATACAGAATAAATTATTATAGAAAAATTAATTAAATTTTTACAAATGATCATAAAAATTAAAATAATTTGAGAAATTACTTTTTTTAATTTTACAAATGTTCAGTTGTTATAAATGAATCAAACTTTTGTAATTTAATTTCGATATTATTAAAAATAATAAAACGAAAACAAAGTTTATACGTCATACTATAAAATAATTATTGATTAATATAATATAGTCTCTACTAAATATTGTAGAGAAGTTTTGTTTTATTATTGAATTTAATTAATTAAAACAAAGTTAGTGTAGAAAGAATTTTTCCCAGGAAAATCAGCATTGACAGAGGATACTTCATCAAAAATCTTTAACGAAAAATAAACGGTCTCAAAACAAACAGGAAACTATGAATTTAATTTTGTCTTTCAGTTTGAAATTAAGTATGAATTTGTGAACCAGATGGCTACTTGATAAAGTGTTATCTTATCATAGTAATAGTCTTGGTTTGAATCCGATTCAAATCTTCATAATATATCATAAATGTTATCATACCTTCGAGTGTAGTATATTATCCCTTTTACATATTGCTTGATCTCGTGGACGCATTAAAGCATAGGCATGCCCGGCCATGATCTTCTGAATATGCCTATGCTTCGCCTTCTTAGGAATCTTATCTCACTGATCATTACTAATACTTTTCTTCTATATTTGTATCTGTATGATGTCTTTAAAGAAATTGGGCCGGAAGACCACAAATGTGTTTTTAAGACTCTGGCTCATAATAAGCGTAATTGTAGTCCCTTATTTTCCTTGAAGTGCAGGTAGCTCATTAATTAATCAATAATTATGAATGGGAACTATAGATTTTAGTTTCTAACGCAAACAAAAAATAAAATAATTAAATATTACACACAAGCACACAAGCACACACACACACACAATCTACATAAGTTATATATATTGTGTACAAGCAATTAATTAATATTTTACCTTTAAAAATCCCCAAGCAATTTTATGCCAGCCGCCTTGATTCTGAAGTTTTTTTAGCCATTTATTACTAAAATTTGATTCAGGGCTAATAAAATCTATGAGCTATAAACAAATATTAAGAAAAATTACATATACTTTATTTCAAGTGAATGTCTTACAATAAATTATACTAATCCAAAAAAGAATTAATTTTAATACTGTTATATGTTAAATTATGTTATAAGTTCAAACAGAAAAAACTCAATTAACAGTATCAAAACAATATATAGTGTTAGGATTTAGAATTACATTGGACAAAATTAAAAAATTAATATAGTGTGAATGGCATTGAATTAAAAACTTGAACCAAGCCTATATAGTAGTCTAAATGTAATATGTGATATGCAACATTGTGTTCCAATGAAAAAATTATTTGTTTTCATTTCCAGCATGTCATTGGTATGGCAAAGAAATACTGATAAGACCAGACAGTCCCTTTTAATTATTTATTTATATAATTTATATTTTATTAAGAAATTTATGTTTTTTTGCATACATGTAATGTGTGAATAATAGTACATTAAAAAATGTTTTGATGTAATAATTAATTTTGGCCTAAAAGAGATAAAATCAGAATGAAAGCATGATTGTCACTATACACATTCAAATAAGTAAAAAAACAGCCAAATCTTAAAATTTACTTGAATATGCAATTTTCTAGAAAAGAAAGTATGAATACTTTTTGTATAAGATTAAAATGAAATGGAAAATTTTAAAAAGGCACATTTATTGAGATGTGTTAGTTCAAAACTAATTATGGAAAAAGAGAATTGAATTGTGTTAAATCAAAATCTTTTATAAACAGAATTGGAGTGTATATACATTAATTATTACCTTGCAATAAATTATATAAAGATTTGTAATAAAATTATAATTAATATTTATTTATAATATTAAAAATATCACAATAATAAGAGAGACAATAGCTATTGTGATTTATATATTAATAAAATAATATTAAATATTAGCATACTTCAAAAAATATGATAACATCAGATTCTTTATTGATGAAATAGTTAAAATCTTCATTGAATATTAATAGTTCCTCCCATAAGGGCATTAGATATCTGAAATTTAAATTTTTACAAAATGTATGTTTTATTATTAAGAAAAGTTTCTAAAATTCATAAAAATAATTTTACTTCTTTTCTTTTAGGTCATATGGCTGAGTCATCATAGGGATTATATGTTCAATATTATTATTTTGAGTTTCATAGTAAGAAGTTACTGATCTATCACTACCAAAGAAAAATAACATAAATTTTATTTTTGATTATTAAATTACATTAAATGTAGTAAAAAACTTATATAATCTACAATATGTTTATATATAAATATGTTTAGATTATATAATTATAATTAAAATAATTACTTGAAAAATTTTTCATTAAAAATAAGGAACACAAATTTCACTACAAAGATCAATCATTAAGTATTTTAATTAAAAGAAAATTTATGAAAATAACATTAATTTTACAATAATTAATCACTAACAAAAAAATGTCTCAGTAATTTAAATTGAAAAATATCAAAACTTCTTGATAAAACATTTTGTAATTGCCAAAATTATTGTGTGAATACATTAAATATATATTGCATTATTGAACTAAAGTTCTGTATTCTTTTTGTAACAAAAAATTTCATTTACTTTATAAATATTAATAATTTTTTTATTAAAATATGTTTTGAAAATGTCAATTTAAAAAATTTTTGTTTTCTGAAACTAAACTAGCTATGATAAATGCGATAATCTCAATACAATATTCAAATATACAGTAATTTTATTAATTATTGAGACTAAAACTTATCTTTTTATCTATCATTTCAAACTGCTTTCTCAAAAATGTTTTAATTTCACTACACAAATTTGAGGACTAATAAATTCTATCTTTATTACATTTATTCATATTCAATTACACAATTAAAAATTTAATTAAATGATCTGAAATATTATTTCTGAGTTGCTAATAGGAGAAATATTTTTCAAATAGCTTTACTATAATAATATTAATTTTTGTTTAGTATGCTAAAGCATATAAGTTATTATTAAAGATAGATTTTAAAAATCTCATTATTTATAATGTTTAAAAATTATGAATTTGTATTTATAAATTCTAATTCATCATATTTAAAAACTTTTCTGGCCCTGAAAAAAGCCCTCTTAATGCCAATAAAGTAAAGAATTAAAAAGAAGTATATTCTATTTGAAACTGTGTATGAATTACATTTTCTTTAATATGTTATACTATAGATATCAATGAAAACTTTATAATAATACTGTGCATTCTAAATAATAAAATAGTACTGTATAATAACAGAACAAAAATTAAAATAAACACTGAGAATAGGACTACTCTCTATTTTCCACTTTTACTATTACTAGTTGTGTTTGTAAAAACTGAAAATAAGAAGCCCCATTCTCAGTATCTATGCTTTCAAATTTTTCACAAATACGTTTTGAAGAAATTTATAATTTTTATTATATGCTTAACTGCACAGCACACTGAGATGAATATAAAATATGACTTACATCAACCATTAACTGGTGTGAATATGATTAACATTGAGTAATGAATGTTTTCATAGCCCCTTCTGGGATTTTCTTTGGGCTTTTTTTAATCATAAACCATATGCTATCTCCACTTATATTCCAATTGGATTGTGATTCGTTTCCATACAAGATAGCATCATTTGGGACCTTGGCTAGAAGAGCATTCACACATTCTTCAACTCCACAAGTGCTAGCACAGGAATTAAGGCTTATAGAAGGGATAGCCAGGGCACATGAAATGGTTACAATCTTATACAAAGATTATGTGAACGCCACAGATGCACATAAGCAGGATCCACCATTTTGACAGAAATACCAAGAGATAAACAGGGAGAGGATCTCCCTCACTTTTAACTCCCATTTAAAATTATTATACATCATGATTGCCAAGTGACATCAGGTCAGTATTACCTACAGGAAATGTCCCTCTATTTTCAATATACTGCATAATGGAAAAGACCCCTCTAACCCCGACAGACTACCGGGCATTTATAACATCCCTATCAAAGACAACAGATGGGATAGGGATACGGTGTACATTGGCTTCACTAAACATTCAATGGAGATCAGGATACGGGAACATAAATCTGATATACAACAGAGTAGGAGTACACCGCACTCTCCACATATGTGATGAACCCGGATATTACAGCAGACTTCTCCAGAGCCCAAATTATCCTTATTATCCTGTACCCAGAACACCTCAAGTGGTTGAAGGCGATCAAAATTTTTAAAGCCTGCTGCAGAACCACCTGCATAATTTGAGGGAGATGTGTCTTTTAAAGGCATGACAGGCTTTACTTGACAACAATATTTAATTTTCAATCTTATTTAAAGATAAAAAAGGGGAACATGTGCGCAGAGGTTCTCTGCATTCGAACTCATCCTATTGTTCAATCTTACTTAAACATCTTACGGGGAATGCATGTGCATATGATATTCAAAATCTATTACCATTCAATTTTATATTTGAATTTTAAGTGCCAGCCTGATTTGATTTGAAAAAAGACTGAAGGGCCCAGAAGAGGCTACAAAAACATTCATTACTCAAATGTTAATCATATTCACACTAGTTAATGGTTGATGTGAGTTGTATTTTTTATTATATGCTTATTATTAAATTCAAATATCATGCTAAGTAATAAAAAAACATCATTCATTCTAGTGGGAATTTGGGTATCAGGGTAGAGTTGTATTATTTTCAAGTATATTAAATATAATGTTTATACTAATAAAGAAGACAAAATACTGAATGTTACCCCTAAAATAATAAATAGTTTTCTATTTGTCATTTGTTTTATTTGTAATATTTTTAAACATACTATAATATGCTTCTTGTCTAGATTGGAATATACTTGTAAGCACTATGGTAGCCTCTTTATTCCAAGACTTATTACACTGTCACAGACACAAGATAAGCCTTAGAACATCAATTTATTTTCCAAAAAACAAATGCATTTCAGATCTACCATCCTTCATCAGCTTTCTTACAACTATTTTAATTATAAATATGTAAGTTAAATAGTATTAACATTGTAAATTTAGTTTACAATGCTTTACATCATAGTGCCCACAAGAATATTTTTAAACAATTTTCATTATAATAAAATTTCAATATTTTAAATAAGCATTTAAAAATATATTTTAATGTAATTACCTATGAAGTTTTTTTAAATATTGACCTGTTTTCATATTGACAATATGAACTTTCACAAGAGGATGACAAATAAGAAAATCCGTTTTCAATTTATCAGTCCCGTGAATTAAAACACCTAAAACAGGATTTTCATTTTCTTGACTTAAATCATTTGGTTGAGTTTCTATAAAACACATTATAATATTAAACTTATTAATAGCATTAAAATACTCTTAATTATTTATAAAAATTTCAAATCAACTAATTAATTAATGCTTCTAGTCCTTTAAATATTATTTTATTGTGACTATAATCTATTAATAGGACTGTTAATCTATTACACTGATTTAACTTGCAGATGAAGTTAAAGAAATTGAATCAGTTCAAATCAATTATTTCAAAATAATGAATAAAAAAATGTATAAAAACATAATTTATTTTATATCTTATTTTAAACAAATAGCTTACTTTCTTTTAACTTTCCTTTCTTTTTGATATCTTTTGAACGTTTAGAACTAGGCTGATTTATATTTTCTTTAACTGATGAGGTCTTCTTTTTTTTCTTCTTACTTAGATTCAGCTCATCATTTTTATATTTTGGTTGCTTTTCAGGACTTTCTTTCAAGCTGGAAGTACTTTCAGTTGTGTAACCTTGATTTGATTGTCCATTATCATTTTCCTGTTGATTAATTTCTGATGAAGGATACATTTTACTTTCATTTTTAATTTTTGCCAACAGTGGTATTTCTTCAACCTGAAAGATTATTTATGAATTTGCATTTACTGTATATATACACACCTAAACATATCTCAACAGTTACACGTAATAAGCTTCATTGCAAGCATTTAAAAGCTATGTTTTGGCCAACATTAATATATTGCACATTACACATGTCTGTATTTCAAAAGAAATTATAAATATTATCATTTCAGAAACAATCAATAGTACTCAACAAAACTAAAAGAAAATGCTGTAATGAAGGGTAAAATACTGAAAACAAGAATAGATGATTAATTAGTCATTGCACTGGAATTTTTATTTCAATACATAGGTTCTGATGCTATTCTCACTCATTTTGTCCATCTTTTTCATCTTTGTATAATTCAGAACAAATAATCATCCAGAAAATCCTAAAATTTTACAGCTTGAATAAAAAACACATTCATTCATAATTCATTACAAAAATATCTCATTAAGAATTAATAACCAAAAACAAATAAAACGATAATAATGTTTTTAAATTAGAAAATTAATTTTAGAAGTATTAAAGCCTTTATCTTTTTTCTAATTAAATCTAATTTACAATTAAAACGATTTTATTGAAAATCTAACAAAGCCTTTAAATGTATAATCCTGAAAATTTAATTTCTTAAGAATTTATAGACTTTTTTTATGTATAGAATTTCATATCAAGAATTTATGTAATAAGAATATATAAACTTAAATTTATGACATATCTATGTAGTGATGTAACGAATATTCGGTTACTATTCGGTATTCAGCCTATTCGGCCTATTTTTCGCTATTCGGCCAAATACCGAATATTTAATCATTAATCAGCCGAATACTGAATACCTAAAAACAGGAGTAAGAAATAACAAACACAGTAAATTAATCATTTTGGTATTTAGATTTAATGTTATCTGGTTAATGTTGTTTGTTTATATTTATTTATAACTTATAACATGCACAAAATAAAAAAGAACATAATATTAGTCACTTGTATTCACAATTTATGATTACAAAGATCAGCACACGTATACACCTATTCGTTCAAGAATTGTCGCACATCCGAGGGTCTGACCCTACCTATCCTTCTTTTTAAGCACTCGTCTTTGCTCTTCCCTTTCTCTTTCCTCTATCGCTCTAGTCCACATATGCCTATGCATACATCATAATACGCTCTCACGATACTTTCAATTCATCACTTTTCCGTCGTAGATTTCCCATTTTACAATTACGTGACTCATAGCTTGGTGATAGCGGAGAAAAGAGACAGATAGGACGTCGGTATAAGTCACAGTTATGATTTCACAGATGCGAAACAGCTCGGTAGCCCGAACGACCCCAGGCTTTCGCCCGTGCACGCTGAGTGACTTTCATTACAAGCATTTAGCTTTCTGAAGTCTATAAAAACAATTATTTGGCGAATTTCGCGCCAATAAGCTGCCTCAACTTGTTCGAGGCAGCTTATTGGCAAACAAGTCGATTATGTTATCAACTCAATTTCATATTTATTTTCACATTTTCATTTTGCAGTCCTTCTCTGTTCTTCTTCCATTATTTACACATGTAGATCATTTCATTCTTATCCACATTTGATATCATCACTTACCACATATTGCCATGACGCTCTTGTCTGAACTGTCAAGAATTAACACGATTGGCAAAGTGTAGTGACAGTGGGCCAATAGAGAGCAGGTTCCTTGCCATAATGCGGTTTGCACGCCAATTTTCGTACGTGCATTAATCAAGCCGAATAGTTTGGCCGAATATTCAGCTATTCAGCCATGCTCCTGGCCGAATATTCGGTATTCGTTGCAACACTAATTCTATGTATTAAAACTTTTAAATTTCTTTATTATAATTTAGTTTTGTGAAATGCTTTCTTAAAAATTTAATAGAGCTAAATTATAACTAAAAAGAAATTCCAATACAGTAGAACTTGGTTAAGTTTCCACAGCAGATGGTTAATTTCAAAAATCTCAATTTTTTCTGACAAGAGATGTTAAATTTTTCCCTTATGAAATTTTTGCATTTAAGAAAATTTCCCACTTAAGTAGACAGAAATCCTTGTCTAAAACCAGAAAATGGATTTGCTTAAAAAGTTTTTCAACTGCATCCTATAGAAAATTTTATGCATTTATTTTTTATGGAAAAAAAAAGAAAAAAGTTACATGAGGAAATGCACACAATTTCACATGTGGACTGTTTTGAACACAGATTTTATAACTTTCTTAAGCCTGTTTCACAATTATCCTTTGCTACAGGGAAAACAAACAGATGTAGTGCTGCATCATAAGCACAAGTTTTCTGCTTTGGCAGTTGTTTCACAATTGTTTAAAATCATGCAGATCAATTTCTGTAACTGATTTGTGTATAAATTTTCTACTTTAAGTTGCACTTGAAATCTAGCAGATCCAAAAACATCCCAACTAATTGAAGGAGAGTAAAATTGTGAAGCATTCTGGTAAAATGACTTCCAATAACATCTATGGTTTTACTGTCAATTTTAACCAATTGGTCAATGTGTATATTAACCAATAGGAGTACTTTTAAAGAATTTGCTAGTTAATTGAGAAACAGGAGTAGAAAATAAAAACAATGTACATATCATGTGGATAAAATATGTTTTTTGAATCATACTGGTTCTGTTTTTTTGACAATTGTGAAACAGGTTTTACAAGGTTATCTGGAAACAATGTTCACAACAAACAGTAAGTTCTGACAAGTGCTATCAAACATGAGTGATACTATAAAGATCAATTCCCACATGCACAGAACCATGATAGAAATTTGATGTAACATACTCTCAAAATATTTTTTGAAGTGATACTTGCCAGAATTCAAAATAAATATGAAGACTTAGACAGGACTCAATTATAAAAAAGTATTGAAAATACACTGTGACAAAGGCATTAAAAATTACTGAAGTTAGAATAAACATCATAAGATATGCAAATAATATGGTGCTTATGACAAACACTTTAGAAAACTTACAAGAAATATATATACAAACATCTCTAAACCTGATATATTTGTAATAAGCCAAACAACTACCAGATAACATCGAGCTACTTTTTTGTGATTATATTTTAATTAATTTCCAAATAATTTGTCCTACAGGGAGGCATTAGACACTATATCTTATTAAATTTAATAATTATTATTAAATTAAATAACATAGAATATTCTGGAAGAAAAGAATCAGCCCAAAGCAGGATTCAAACCCATAACTCCTGCTTACCATGTAGATGCATTGCCAGTTATGCTACCTGAGTCTCCAGTCCAATCTCTTCTTCCAAGTATATTTAATTATGATATAACCATCCTTGGTTACTTATGGTATGATAATAATAATTATCATTAAATTAAATAATAATAAATTTAATAAGAGATAGCACTTAACGCCTCCCTCTAGGACAAATTATTTGGAAATTAATTAAAATATAATCACGAGAAAGTAGCCTGATGTTATCCAGTAGTTGTTTGGCTTATTACAAGTAGTAATAAAATCAATATATGAAACTGGTAGGGAGTTTGGCATCAAAATAAATATTGAAAAAACAAAATGCATGATAATCAACAGAGGAGCAAATAACAACACCCAGTTACTAATTGATGAGAAGAAAATTGAAAAAGTAAAAATCAATATATACAAATATCTTGGTAAAATGGTTAAAGAAGAGCTAGTTTCAATAAAGAAATTAAAACAGATCACAGTGGCAATCAAGACATTTACAAGAATAAAAAGTCTACATTGTGATAGTAGTCTTGGTTTGAAAATTAGACGAATGGTGAAATATTATTTCTGGCCAGTTTTATTATATGGAGTAGAAGCATAGAGGCTTATCTGGTAAAAGCAGTAAATGTGGCTAAAAGTGTGCCAGCATTAATCTCCAGAAGATTGCACGTTATTGAAGAAATGAAAAAAATGTTGTATAATAAATTCAAATTTTCATTTTTAGGGCATTTAATTGTGTTATTTTTGCCTTAAATTATGAGTATTGCTATTTAAGTTTAGCAAAATGGGTATTGTTTATGATCTGGAAATGGATTAATTCCCTTTTCATTATTTCTAATGGGGAAAATTTATTCTGATTTCAAACAATTCATGAGTTCAAATTTGAAGTACAAGGCACCACTAAATTTAAACTGTTTATTTTAATTATTTTTTATTTATATTTAAATTCATTTCGTTATTTATTACTTTATTTAAAATAGTTGTTATAAAGTAACTTACATTTTTTGTAGCTGAAAATGTTCCAGGTTCAGTATTTCTATGGAAAATTTAAAACAAAAATTTCTTAATGATAAATAAATTTATAGTAATGTATTAAATATACATAAAACAAATATTATATAAATAATGATAAAATAATATAAACAGATTTTTTATCATTATCTATACACAAATCCCCCCTTTACCAAGTTCACTTTCTCCACTTTGCTTCTACAAAATATCTAAATTAGAACTTGTTTTTGCTAAGTAAAAGAAATTTAAAAAGAATTTTAGTTTTTGAGCCAGCAAAAAAATGAGAAAATTTTAATGAAAACAAACATTTTCTTCTGTATTAAACAGACATCTTTAGGTTGAATACAAAACAGAATAGATACAGTAATACCCCGACTTATGCGAACTCAGAGTTACGCGATTTTCAAATCTCATCGATTCGTCTTTTGTTTGAGCGCCACGCAACCTTTGATTACTCACTCCCCCCACACTATTGTTCAGCTTACATGTTCGGATGTGTCACGCAGAATCCACACATAGCTACAATTTATTTTGTGTTATTTATTTCTGTGTTTGTTATATCTACGGAAACTCGAGAGACTCTACTATGTCATCCAAACGAAGTAACAATTATCCTTTGCTACAGGGAAAACAAACAGATGTAGTGCTGCATCATAAGCACAAGTTTTCTGCTTTGGCAGTTGTTTCACAATTGTTTAAAATCATGCAGATCAATTTCTGTAACTGATTTGTGTATAAATTTTCTACTTTAAGTTGCACTTGAAANAATCCACACATAGCTACAATTTATTTTGTGTTATTTATTTCTGTGTTTGTTATATCTACGGAAACTCGAGAGACTCTACTATGTCATCCAAACGAAGTAGAACTAATTCTTCCACATCAAACAAGAAAAGAAAAACTTTATCTTCAGAATGTAAAGTTAGCATTGAGTATGTTCGTAAAGTCAAACGAGTTAAACGAGAATGACGTCATCGTTATTCCTATTTCATTAGACTTTTCGAATGATTCATTACTAACGCGTTTAACTCGTTTGATTTTACGAATGTACCCGTTATTAAAGACTTCGATACAAAAATGAAAATTTGTGAATTGGCAAAGAAATTTGATCTACCGGAATTGTCCATCAGAACAATTATAAAAGGCAAAGAAAAAATTCTCAAAGCTGTGAAAAATGCTCAATCTTTAAATTCAAGCATCATTCGTAAACATCACAGTATTATAACTGAGATAGAAACAATGTTAAAATTATGGCGTAATAATCAAGTAAATGTGAAAAATTGTAAAATAATATAGGCCTAATTTGTTATACATATGCATTATCTCAGATTTTATTAAACATTTTTTTTCTAAATTATTGTTTTCTTTAGTCTCCGGCCCCAATTAAAAATTATTTGTATGTATTTATATGCGAAATTATACCCCGACTTACACGAATTCGACTTATGCGGTTACCGTTCAGTCCCACCTATCGCGTAAGTTTGGGGTATTACTGTATTTAAAAAATAGAACAGAACATAAATATGAAAGAACTAGCAGATAAAACTGGCATTACCTGGGCAAAAAATAAATACAAACATTAAGACTATTAGAGTATTTCATACTTCTAACCCTTATATTAAATTATAGTATTTTATTTATATAACTACAAATGTTATCTTATATAAAAGTTTATCACACCAAGTGACCAATCTAATACATTTTGAAAATTCTTTAAATTGTGTACAGTAGAGGAAGAACATTTTTAAGATTGGTCAATTGGTGTGATAAGCCCTTTGTACTCTTTGTAGTTATATAAATCAAATACTATAATATAACAAACATATAAAGAATTTGATTATTTTAACCTACCATTGTCATATTTATCATGATACTTGGATGGTATGAAATGGCACAATTTCATTAGTCAAGTAGACACCAATTGAAAATACAATATCTTAAATTTTTGAAGATATCATGCTTTTTTCTAATGTTAGCACTAACAAACTGTTTCATTCACAGCCAAACATTAAATGGTAATCTGCCGCCCAACCAAATTTCACAAAAAAATGGACCAAATATTGTATAAAAATATGTAATATTTGTTAATAAATTTTTTATATTTACAAACTTCCATCAACCCAAGAGGTCAATACAAACCCCATTGGAAAACACTGATGTAATCTATTGAATTTAGAATGTAATATGAATTCAGTTTAAAAAATGTTACTGTTTGGTATATGTTGCATTTAATCTACAAAAGGTGATAATTATTGTTCATAGTTTACAATCGGTTGTATAGTTAGGGGTGGGCAGAGGGGTGGATGGTCCCGGACAGAATTTTCTTCAGGGCATCATTTTTGGCATTAAAAAGAGTAAAAAGTAAAATTATCAAACAATTCCAAGAGTTAACAATTACAAAAATTATATAATTGTCATTGAAAAAATCCAGCAACAAATTGCATAACTTTCCTGGCTATTATAAGATCTTATTTAGAAAATAACTTTTATAATTTTAATTACAATAAAACTTAACAGATATAAAAACAACAAAAAATAAACTGGAACGATATATAGACTCTCACCTAAATATCAAATTTCCATCAAAACACCTAAATTCAACATTTGAACATTTTTGGCCACTCGTTAATAGGCCTTCATCAGGAAAAGTCAAACAAAAATAACTGTTCTATTTATAGAATGCTGCAGCGTTGTACACATAATTTTTAAAAATCAGTTCAAATATCAGCTGTGACATATCTACAGGGCCGACATAAGAGGAGCATGCATCAACACAGATTACATTCCCATACCAAATGCATGGAAGTATTATTTAGACTCTTAACAGAAATTATACATTGCTTAATATATGTCACATCTGATGTTCGAACTGATTTTTAAAATTTTTAAAAATTATGTGTATAACGCAGCAACATTCTATAAATAGAACAGTTATTTTCGTTTGACTTTTCCTGATGAAGGCTGATTAATGAGTGGCCGAAAACATTCGAATGTTGAATTTGGTGTTTTGCTGGAAATTTGATGTTTAGGTGAGAACTTAACAGATGGTACCACAAACAATTTTATTATGAGATTTTGTTATAAAAAACTTTTTATATTTTAAATTACTATTAAATGGCAAAAAGCTTAATTTTGAGGGTAAGGATGAGTTTTATAAAAAAAAAAGTGTAAATATTAATAATGAGTAAAATCGGCATTAAGCCTGACTCTATTGGAGACTCATATGACCTCTTTATCTCCCCACCCTATTGACCTTTAACTACCAAAATTTAATAGCATCAATGCCCCTCATATACAAGCCACCTTTCCAAATCTTGTTACTTAATCTTTACCCCATCCTGAAATATTATGTGAAATAGACACCAACCAACACATACACCCACACACCTGCAAAATTTTTTTGCCATTGTTTTACTTTTTTGGATTTAGGTCTCAAAATGTAGAGATTTGCAAAATCTTGGAGGACAAATTTGTCATGATTCTAATACTTTCCCTTGTTATATATACATAACAGCCAGGAAAGTAAAATGTCTAAGGTCCCTGATCCCATCAAACAAAATACTGTTGTTAGTTGTTATTATAGTAACAGAGTCACAACTTATAAAATTTATACAAAAATATAAGCTGGAAAACTTCATTTCCAACATTGTTTTAATATTAAAAATTCGTTTAAGAATTGTGGTTAGTGTCACTAATTGTGAAAGGAGCTAAAATTGATTAAAAATTATCTTAGATCCAGAATGAGTGATTTATGATTAGGGAATCTTTCTATATTATCTGTAGAACATCAACTAGCAAACAAAATAGTTTGATAGTATCATAGATAATTTTGCTAGTAAAAAAGTAAAAAAAATTAATTTGTACTTTTGTATCTTAATTTTAATTTATAAATAAAAGAAATAAGGTTATTTTTTCTTAAACTTAATGTTCAAATTGTGTCTAAATAGGTTTGATGTGTATTATGTATTTCCCACAGGAAGTGCGGCAATTGACAAACCATCTCAGACAGCTCAAATTGTAGTTACAATTTATAGTAAAGAAAACATAATTTTTCTAAGTCTGGAAATATTAAGTATTTTAATATCTGAGAGCTGTTCCTTTAATTATTCTGTTCTGGAAACTATATCATATATGACAAATTAATTACTCATAGTAATATCAAGTTTCTTTTTGACAAAGTTTTAAGTATATATATATTAAAATAATATATACTTAAAACTTTGAAAAATAATATATATATAAAATATAAAATTATATGCTGAATATATACAGCATATAATTTAAATAAAACTGTAAGTAATAATGTAACTAAAATATTAATGCTATAAAATGGAATAATTACATACATGTTTTGATTACCCATAAGCTGCTGAAATTTTGTCCTTGTTCTCTGTTTTATTCTCTCTCTTCCAGACATAGATTTTGCTTCAAAGAAAAAATTTATAATAATTTTAAATCAGAAAAAGCATGATAATTTATTCTATAAATAATTAACTTTATCTAACATTAACTAACTTAAAAAAATAATTAAAAAATCAAATTCACATTATATTATATTATATGTAAAAGCAAATGAATATAAAACATGAAAAGAAACACAGCTCTATTTAAAAATTAATAAAAAAGAAACATTTTTGGACCTTTGGGTAAAAGTACAGTTTTGAATGAGGGGTTTGGATGCCATCCCAAATTTCAAACTTCCCTAGACAACCAAAAATGTCAAAGGAACCATATCTCTAATTGTGACACTTGGCAAGATATCAGGTTGCTTGTTAAACAAATATGATTAACAAAACACACCATGAATGGCAGTGACACCAAAGTAGTAAGTGCAATGGTGTTTCTCAACTTTTATGAGTTTTTAACCATCTCTAGTAAAGGAAAAACAGTTGATTTTTAGCTTTGTTTTGAGAAATAGCTCTAAATTTTTTCACTTTTAAATTTTACTCCTTTTTTTTGAAGGTCTTCAAAATTCAAGATAAGCTGATTTGGAGAGAGCTATTTCTGCAGAGGAATACATAAACTGTTGGTTCTTTTGACTTTTTGGTCTACAGCTCTGATGTGATCCCAACCACCTCATTCTAAGCTGCATTTGTATATATACAGTAAGACCCCTCTTAACACGATGGATGCGTTCCTAGACAACAAAGCACTAAGCAAAACAGAGTTAAACGAAGTCATTTTAACATAGAGTNTTATGGAAGAAACCTTTCAAACAGCCGTAGTCCGTAAACTGCATATGTGCCGGGCTGTGATTGGCTGGACTCATAGAAAATGGATTCATAAAAACAGGAACATATCTACTATGTTATAGGGGGTTCGACTGTATATAAAACTGAGGAATAAAACTTTTGTTTCAGCTAAAAAATATATAATACAGTAAGACCCTGCTTAATGCAGGGGATGCGTTCCTACACAACAAACTGCTAAGCGAAACAGCATTAAATGAGGTCATTTTAACATAGAGTTAATAGGGATAGGGGAACACGCATCCAAAAATAAACAAATTTTACTTTAATTTTAAGTTATTTTTATACTAATTTGTATAATAATATATGTTAAATAACACATAAACATATGCACACAGAAATGTAAAGTTCATTTTTGTGATGAAGGTCCTGGCTCTTCTAAAATTCTTGTTCTTTTGCAATAAAGTCGTAAAGTTTCATTTCTTGCTTTTTTCTTTCCTTAAGCAAATGTCGGTAGCAGAAGATTTCATCAAAAAAGCCTCGTTTTGCTTTTGCACTCCTTTCAATATCTGCTACAATTTAATCAATGATTTTCGTTATTTTACCAAACTTTTACTAAGGAAATCTGTAGAGAAATTTTTTGGGTTCTTTGTTTTCAGAATCTCTATTTCCCAGTTCCACATGAATTCCATGTTCTGCCAGTTCTTGAAGGTTGTTGTTGGTAAGGCTCTGACCAGAAGCCTGCAGTAACTCCTCAATATCCTGCTCGTCTACATCTCCTAGTCCTGCTGTATTGATTAGGTTGACAATTGATTAGAATAACAATACAGCAATAGGCTCTTCTCATTGAGAATTCTTGGATACCTTCAGCCATAACTTCTTCCACATTCCATTCATGCATTTATCAGTTAATTCTTACAAAGCGAAGTCGATATTTGCTATGGCATCCATGATGTTATATTTTTTCCAAAATTGCACCAAAAAAACAGATTTAAAGAAAGTACACCTTTTGGCCACCTTTTGCTGATTGGTTTGTGTTCCCAAATGATCGTATTATATATGAATCAATGAAATGCCACGATAATTTGAATCAGCATAAATTTTGAACTTTTTATAGGCTTCGAGCAGACCACATTATATCAAATCAGCGTTAAGTGGGATCTTACTGTATATATATATATATATATATATACAGTATATATATATATATATAAGTTTTATAAAAATAAAAGAATTTATTATATTTTAACATCAAACAAGTATTTCTTTTTTAAATCTTTCTGCCCCATGGGCACCAAGAGAGCCTCTTTTAGCAAGCCCATTACCGGTTCGGCTAGGCCCTCAACAGGACAGCCGGGCAGCAAGAGACAGGGCACGGCACATCGAGACGAACCACCACCCAAAATATTCTTGGGGGCTTTTTCAAACCATTCGAATTTGACCCCAGGTACCGAGAGTGATAGGCTGCCACCTTGCCATAGTTGTTTGATTCAATGCCCATTGAACCAAATAAGTATTAAGAATTAAAAGAATATATCTATATTATTGTTGAAGAAATATAAAAATATAAAACAATGGGATCGGTAAGAATACTAAATATATAATTTCTAAAAATAGACGAGTAAATTAAAACACTCTTTCCTAGACCGACTTCGAGTGATTTATATTAGCGGACAAATAGTAATCAACAAAGATACTTTACTTTAACCAATGTTAATTCTTTTATTTTCATAGTTTTCAAATCACGTTCCAAATGCATTTCGCCTTTACAGCCTCATCAGTGGATTATCCAACAACCAGACACTTATTTCCTTTTATACAAATAAATTTTTCCCAGCATGCATCANATCTTACAAATCAAAACATCGTCTGTTTACTTAAGCCGCGTTATTAGCCCTCTACCGGAAAAAGAAAAAATATTTAAAATTAAAAATGAATCATTATTATTAGAATGAAATTTTAGGATAAAATTTTTCTTATTATTATTAATAATAATAGTAATAATATTTTAGTTCGTATATTTAAAATTTATTTTATGGAAAAAAAAAATTTTTATCTTAAGGTCCTTAGAATTTATTATCAACAAACAATCCACGAAAATTTCTATTCCACGAAAGATCCTACCCGGATTTAAACTATAATCCCTTTAAACGACCAGGCGTATAAAAGTGTGGCCGGATGATGATGGATAAAGCCGGAAATATCCGGGCCTCCAGAATCCAGACCACGCCGAAAAAATTCCTGGGAGTTTTCGAACTGCCTGGATCGCTCACAGAAGTAGTCTGGCGCCTTAACCATCCGGTTGTCTACAATTCTAACTGAAAGCAACAAGGAGCAATGTGTCTTACTTTCCGGAATTAACGTGACATTGAAAGGAGATACTGAGCTCTTACTTCAAAATAAAGCACCACCAGTATCCAATAAACGGCCGGATGGCCGAGTGGTCTAGGTGGCAGTCTACCGCTCTGGTGGACCCGGGTTGGAATCCTGACGGGTCCGTCCGGATATGTCTGGTCCCGTCTCTCACCACCCAGCCGTTCCATTGTAGGAGTGGCCGAACCCATAATAGGCTTGCTTAAAGAGGCCCTCTTAGTGCCCACAGGGCGGAAAGAGTTTTAAAAAATATCCAATAACCTTTACAATGACTTTGACTGTAAAAAAATGCCAGGGTTTGGTTTGGTTTGAAGGTATATGGCATCGCAACGCATGGGCGATCTGCCAAGGTGTATCTCCCGAGAAAACTTTCTGTGGAAAACGGTTCCCTGTTTAAGTGTTACAAAAGTGAAAAAATCCGAAAAACTCCTTGTAAACAACAAGTGTAAATAACAAAATGAATTTATTGCCAAAAGTTAAGTACAAAATAGTTACTTTTCGACATAATCACCGTGAAGATTGAGGCATTTGTCATATCTGTGGACGAGCGTTTCCATCCCCTTTCCATAGAATGTTGCCGCCAGTGAATTGAGATAACCTTAAAAGTAATTCTGCTAATGTCACGCTGCTCACGAAATAAAATATCATTTTCTTATTTTCAGTTTATTTCAGCAACATTAGATTTCCATTTGTATGCATTTTACCAACTCACAATAGAATAAGAAATATATATAATTACATAGAACCAAATTCATAATAATTAATAGAAACAATCGTTTTTAATTTAGTTGTACTAGTTCTTGAACCGGTGTTTTTGACATACCGGCCCGTTCCTATCCCTACCGTGTTTGTACTATTTCGATCATTATGTGGGTTTTTCGTTCTGGCACAACCATAATGGGCGTGTTTTAGAAATATTCAATTCAAGTGACAAGTAACTCAGTAGTTACAGTAAATTATAATCTTCCAGAATACATTTTACAGCAAGTCCGCACACTGTGAGCAGGTAATAAAAACAGTATCAGACCAATAATGCTAACATGTCATATATTTTCAGAATAAAGATATATCTTTCATATCATTTCATATCTTTCATATCGCAAAGACACTGTTTATTATTATGATCAGTTCCTGCTATACATCATCGAAGATTTAGGTATATTACAGCATTATGTAAAGAAGACATTATTTCTTGTTGTTACTTTAAAGTTTAATCTAGCCTATAACTTTTAGCTTGAAATTCCTTCAGCGTAAATACTTTCTTTAGTTGTATTGATATATAACGTGTATACAGTAAACAGAAAACAAAATCGAGCAAAGATGAATAATTTTCGGTAATGTGTTTAAATACCAGTGTTTATTTTAAAAGATAAATAATACAGAAGTAAATAAAGTACAAAAACGACTATTTATAATTCGGCTGAATAAAAATTTTCGTGTATTAGACAGGATACTTCCCAATTTTTCGAGGATAATTCTGTAAATGGATCAGTTGTTTGGTCGTCCTTTTCAACCAAACACATCTGAGAAGGAACGGCTCGAAGTGCTTCACGCTCAGATGTATATGGACTTTAGTATATTTTGTTGTCAAAATTTCTCGAAAAATTTCTTCTATTTCCCTTTTGAGGAAATATTTTTTACGAGAAAGATATGTTTGCGGTGTAAATAATGCAATTTTCATAATTGTTAAGAGTTTAATTGTTGAAGACATTCAACGCAAATTTGTTAAAGCGATTCGAAAACGATGAAGATTTTCATTGCATTTATGATTATTTTTATATTACTTCCTATTGAAAGTAATACAAATGGAATATTTTTTACTGGACGTGAAAATATTAAATAAGACGAACGCTTTCTTGTTTACCATAAAAATAGAGTAAAGGAATCAACCATCAGTTCTTTACCCCAAAGTCGAAATTATTGATAATTAGATGATTCCATCATCCTTACGAAACAGTTTAAACATAGCATCTGTGCTTTTCAATGAAAATATTTTTAGCAGTGGCGGCGCGCGACTGCAGGACAAGAATGTTCCTTACAGAGTCACCATATTGGTTCCTTAGTTCCCTGGCCACGCCATAGTTTCCTGCTCTGTACTGTACAGTACATAACAGAAGAAAAGTAATATTATGTAAATACAAGATTAAGTAGCCGAAGTTTAAACTATTATGTAAATTCATATTGTTATATGATTATAATAATAATAATGAAAACTGTTTGTTTTCCAGTCTAAAGCTAGGCTTTCCGGTCCGAAAAATGCATAATTTGTAATCAAAATAAATAAGAATAAAGTTGTCTTCCGATTAAAATATGTCCTGTTAAAATCGGTATAAACGTGGCTCCGATTGCACGAGTATATCTTAATTAAAGAAAAGAATTTTTTTAAAGTTTTTTCAAAAATTTTAATTAATCCGGAGATTTAAAAACTTTGCTAAAATGATATTTTAGGAATATGATAATTCTAAATCGCGTTTAAATTTGAATTTAAAAATTCGATTGCCGCAGAACGGAATCTTTTCTTTAAATATCGTTCGAAACGTCGAATTCCGTCATTCTGCTTCTGCTAAAGAAAAAGAAACAACGCAATGGACAATCGTTACGAAAATAAAAGCCCAGAAAAAAAGCCCGAGTCAAAAAAATGACTCGGTCTGAGGAAGAAATGCTTCGGAAATTTAAGAAAGCCAGAAAAAAATCGTCGACGCCGAAAAAAAGATCGTGGCCTTAAAAAAAATATCCTCGTCGCCGAAAGGAAGATAAACATCGTTCTAAGGAAACATATAAAGAACAAAGTAGGTCAAATACCGGAAATATCAAAAGCTAGAAGAAAATCGAAATTAAAAAGAACGAGTAGTAGTAAGAAAAGCAGGAAGGGAAGTAAACGACCTCGTAGAGGGGCTAGTGGCAGCGGAGAGTAAGCAGGGCGTCGATAAAACAGCAATCTTCAATGAAAAGAGGAAACACAATTGCTCTAGATTCCTGTAGTCTAGCAAACAAACGGCTCTTTTCAGAGCCATTTTTTATTGGTGAAGAGTAGTCAAATCGATTCTAATAAACAAGGCTTAATGTCATAGATTCGGTTTGATTTTAAATTTTGAAGCGTTATATACAAAAAATCGTCTTTGACGAACAGATTTAACTTTGGTCGACTTAACGGTTTTGTGAAGGCGTCGGCTACGTTTTCTTCGGTTTTTATATATTTAAGTTGAAATGTTCCTTCTTCCATCTGTTGACTTAGATATGATGCCAGTCTGATTAAATGATTCGAGTTGTTACTCGTGTAGCCTGATTTCGCTATGGAAATCGCAGATTGGTTGTCGCATAGAAGTTGGATTGTTTCGAGTTTTCCAAACAGTTCTTCTAGAAAGAATTTTATCCAAATCCCTTTTTTAGCACAGCTTCCTAGGGCGAATAGTTCTGCGTCGCAAGTTGAGAGAGGGGTGATGGGTTGTTGCTTCGAGGTCCAGCTTAATATGTTCTTTCCTAATGAGTAAACGTATCCTGTTATACTCTTTTCTGGAGGGGTTCTCCAGCTGGCGTCAGAAAGGCCCCTGACATCTAGTCTGTCTGGTGTGTAGCGCAGTCCTGTCGATTGTGTTTCCTTCAGATATCTGAATATGCCCTTTAATGCAGTCAGGTGAATAATTCTAGGGTTCTTTGGTATATTTGGAGAGCAGGGTTACTGCACACGCTATATCGGGTCTTGTGCGCGTTGCCAGGAACATCAACGAGCCTAGCATTTCCTGATATAACTTCTGATCGCACGGTTTTGAGTCGTTATATTTTTCTAGTTTAACGTCGGGATCGAGCGGGGTACTTCTCGGCTTACAGTCTTGCATTGTGTACTTCTCTAATATGTATTTAACGTAATTTTGTTGTTTGATCACTATCTCTCCCTTTCCTTTTATTATTTCCATGCCTAAAATATTCTTCGTGTCTGGACTTTCTTTGACCTTGAATTTTCTTCGGAGTTT